TGTCAATGCTTTTTTCCGTACCCGCAACATATGTTCACAAATAAAATCGCAATTTCTCGAATGCGACAACCGCAGTAACATTTTGATTAAAGTAAAAGTTGCATTCGTATATGGAAATCCCTTTTGCGGATTTTTCTGCATGGCGGTAATGTTTTTGCGTGCTGTCAACACAAATATTTGACCACATAACAAAAAAGTTACTGAAACAATGCCCTTAACAACAAAGGTCCGCGGCATCGGTTACAGCCAGCAGAAACAACCAAAATCAGCAAACAGCAGTTTCATATTTTTGGTAATAAACGAAGTTTCAATATCCATTAATATCCTGAAGGGGTAATATTCAGAGAATTTTATACATCATTTTAGAGATTTGAAAGTTAAGGTATGGAGAAAATTATCTGAACTAAAATTTTAGATCGTAATTTGTATATATTTTTAACCTTCTTGGATCAGATATACCTATATCCAATATTTCAAAGACAAATTATAAAGAAAATAGAAACTTTTACTAGAACACTTGCCTAAAAGTCATTCATACCCTCTGTTACCTAGTCATAAAACTGCCCGGAAAAACTTTAACAACCAAAATACATCTCATAAGGGTCGAGGGTCACAGATTCAAGCACATCAGCGAGGACACATATAACCATATACACATACTATACAGATATATATATATATATTCGTATATCTGTATGAATAAACATATGCATGACCATGCAAATGTGTCAGCGGGACGCGCGAAATGCAAATGAAAATGATATGTGTTTACATGCGAGGGGCTAAGAGTCAAAAAACTGTTGTCAGTCAGCGAAATAAAAAAAAAAGTATATAAAGAAGGGAGAGGGAGAAATCCCCAGCGGACTAACAACCGTCATCTCTGGCCTCTTTTCGATGTTCCTGCTCCCCATAAATTTGGATGACAGCCGAGGTGACAACGTGTCAACAAGCGCCGCGGGCGACAGCCACGCCCCCCAAATCACAACGCCCACGCACACCCGTACACAAACACACACATTATGGGTCATAAACCAGGCATCAAATGTCTGGCAAATCGGGCAATTAAAGATCAGATTTAAGAACAAGTCAGAAAAAACAAGCTCACTCTTTAAATGATTGATTATTTGAAGGCAAGATGTGCATCTTATTGGTAGGAGGAGTTTCTAAAACTGGCCTCTCGTCATCTGTCTATTTAACCTCAGTGCGCCACGTGCGCTGCTTTTTATCTGGTGAAGGCACCTAAACAGAGGCGTAGGAGTTTTTAAAAGGTTAGCATAGTAGAAGATTTTTGAAAGGTTTTCTTTATGATGTTGCCCAGTCCAGTAGCCTGTTGGCCTCTTATTAGATTTAAGTAAGTGAGCTTCTAATGTTTTCGTAGATATATTCTTAGGATCCCCTTTCATAATATCCCTTACCCGCCCCTGTAGTTGCTTCTTATCACTGGTGTTGCTCATGCTGTTATCGCCGTTGTAAGTGGCTGTCGCTGTCATCTGCCAGCAGCAGAGAAATAAAAGAAATGGAAAGAAATGAAATTCGCCGCTTGGCCCCCAACTCCCAAGTTCAATTTGTTTTTACTCATATTTCTGTGATTTGTTATTGAAATTGTTATTGTTGCTTGTTGGTTGAATGTGCGTGACATCAGCAATAACAACAACAACAACAACAACAATGAGCTGTGGAGGCTTATTTTATAATCACAGCAATTTTCGAGCTTTGGCTCAATGATTTTTTTGCTCGACTCACATATTTGCATTTTATTATCGCTCGCCCTTTTTATTGACACAAATCATTTGGGCCTGTGTATGTTTATTCAAGTATGCGTGAGTTTTATTTGTCGTCAGGTATTTGATATTTTATTTCTGATTGCCTCGGGATTTATGTTGATGTTTATTTTGTTTGCTTATTTGCCAAATATTTTCAAAGGATTTCCCTTGAATTTTAACCAATTTAAAGTTCTTCTCATGAATTTGTTACAAAAATTACAAAAAATGCATTGTTTGGGTCACAATTTTAACCCGAATTGTCTTGAATTATTCTCAGGTTTTCCTTAAATTTAATTGTTCTGAAAATTTAACAATTTAACGAACTAATTAGTAAAGACCAAAACCCACTGACTCATAATTACAGAATTTACTGCAGCCAGCAGATGATCTCATCATTTCTTAGGGCATTCCACTTTCTTAATCTTATTTTGTAGCAAAAACCCAACTAATCTGTTAAATAAAGAAAAACCAACCCAGTCTCTTTTTCGGCCAGTCATTTTCTTCCTTTTTAGTATATTTGCTGGGTAAACAGTTTTCCGGGGAGTTTGTATCTAATTGATGGAAGGGATGCTCTTTAAGGAAACTGAAACTAAAATTGAAATCGATGCTGCCATAGAAACCAAAGTAGGAAAGTCTAACAAAGGCTTATTTTACACACACGCACAGCTACACTCGCACACACAAACATAGTGGGAAAACACAGTCGGTGGTAGTCCATTCATAAATCATCATATTTTCACCCGATTTTTAGCCATTTTCCCTCAACGGGAATTGTTTGCTTTCGTTCAGCAACGCGGAAAAAAGTACAAATATTTGTTATGGTAGCTCACACAAAAGGCTTATGTTGTCATGGACCAAAAGTTTACATACTCGTATATCTTCCAGTTTTTGTGTTTTTTTTTTTTTTTATAAGCAGTTTTGCTATCCAACATTGTTTTGTCATTCACTCAATTTGGCAAACAACCGAATCATTAGCCGGACTAGACCCTATTTTCCATTACCATTCTGTCGGTTGTCCTCTGGTGCCTTTATATCCACTTAAACTTACAACAAATTAAATAAGTTTCAACTCATTTACCAAGTCATTTTCCTGCCAACTTTGCTCGTCATCAGCTTCCTCGGCTATTTGTGTTTCAGTTTAGTTTTTATGACGAGCCCTCTTCGCCTTCTCCACTTTTGGCCCCATTTCATACCCATTTTAGCCCCATTTTTGGATCCCCCCCCACCCCATGCAAAGCGAATTCTACACAAAAGAAATCAGCTAAAAATTTATTTACCCTGACTTTGGCAGCGGAACTGCAAAACGGGAAAGTTTTGCGCTTTTGTTTGAAATTTGTTTCGCATTTGTAAGTTGAAATGCTTTCCCTAAGAAAAGCGGCATAACACAAAATACAAAATACAAAATACAAAAAAAAAAAAAAAAAAGACAGAAACACAAATAAAAGCTTTGTCCTGCTCCTCAAAGGAGAACTAAGGAACCGAAGCACTGAGGTTCCAAGAAAACCATCCCAGACAGACCCCAATCTCAGGTTCCGTTTGCCTGTTTTCCCGGAGAAAAATGTTTCCCTTTTTTTTCTTTCTTAGCTGGCCAGTGCCTGCTTTTATTCAATTTAACTTGCTTTCCTCGAGTTTTTTTTTTTTTTGGCTTTGGCTTAAACAAATTTTCTTCATTTTAAAGGTTCGACTACCGTCTGCTGGCCAAATTGATCTTATTGACACTTTAGTTACGGCCCAAATGGTCTGTGACGGCCCTATTTTTAGCCAAACCCAATGGCCGTGTCATTTGTAACATTTTCGCTTCGGACTCGAGGGCTCAGCCTTATTGCAATTTGAGCGCTTGATGGGCGCGAAATCGGGGACTGGAAAATATTGCCTGGCCATAAACAAATCCTTATGGCTGTTTCTGGTAAAACGAAGAAGAGCTACGGCATTCAACAGATGCCAGTTGCCTTTGAGGCCTTTTTGGTTAAAGTGGCCTCGGAAAAGTGAACGAAGGGAAATGGCCTCGTCATTAAGTCAATTTGTTGGAAGAACAACATTTTTTAAACTGATTTTGCTTTTTAGAAAACATGCTTTAATATCCGTAGTAAATATTTGCCAAGATATACCAGTTTATATACCCTTACTTTAAAGCTAAAAGTTCTATTAAAGTTGGTTTTTCTTTATAATCATTATATTTAAAATTTTCTTTGCTAAAAACAGGATGATTTTTTGGATTAAATAGAACACAAATCGTCTTTAAATATATTTTTTTTTGCTTTCCTTTGTTAGTTCAGAAAGATATCATATCCTTAATTCCTACTTCATTTTCGCTCCACGCTTCTATCGATCCATCTTCTCCTGGAACTTATCTCATTTTCTGTAGGCCAAGTCGTTAAAATATTCCTTTTCCCAGCGGCTATACGTACGAGTATTCATGTTCGACCAGATTCTGGACACAAATCCCGCGCCCAAATCTCGGGGCACACGCAACAACAACAGAGTAAACACAAGTATCACTCACCAAATATGCCAAATGCCCAACCTCCGACGGGCCAGCAAACCAACCTATTTGCACAGGGAAAAAAAGTTAGAAGAAAGTTTTACAGTGTTCTTAAAAGTTATGATATTTAAGAGAATTTAGTTTAAGTTTTAAACAAGATGATTGGATATACAAAAACTTCTTTAATATGTAAGCAAGTTGGGTATACTTATGTACACTTTCAGAACATATAGAAAAGAGATTGTAAGTTCCTGATAAGATTTTTTCACAGTGCACACACAATTGTACTTTTATGGGAAAAGGGCGAGAGTGGCGCGCTGAGTTATGACGTCCAACAGCTGTGCAAAACGATGGCCACAGCATCGGGAATAGCCGCTCATATATGGGCAAGTTCCTCTGAAATATGTTGCATAAGCCCCCTTTTGGGCGGCGGGGGAAGAGGTCGTGGCAATATCATTTGCCAGCTTACGATTGAAGCGGGGCTCCAGGGAAAACAGGGAGGTAGTCACAAAAAAAAAAAACAACAAGAGTATTAAATAAAAATGGCCAGGCGACAGTTGGGACTTGCATTGTTGCCAACCAAATCGTAAATCGTGTGTACACATAGGTGGAAAGTATTGCAGCCACTTAATACAGTCATAAGTCGGCCAGGGAATATTTACAAGCTTACTGCCAGACACACACACACACAAAAAAGTAGTAACAAAAACAAAAAAGACAAAAAAAAATACAATGGAAAACTGATTTATCCGCAGGATACTTTCCTTTGGGCTCCGAGCATTGCCTGACCTGGATCTGCCTCGATGTCCTCTTCTGCACGGCAAGCATCATGCACCTGTGCACCATCTCCGTGGACCGTTATTTATCGCTACGCTATCCAATGAGATTTGGCCGGAATAAAACACGCCGGAGAGTCACGCTCAAAATTGTTTTCGTTTGGCTTCTGAGCATCGCCATGAGCTTGCCCCTAAGCTTGATGTACTCGAAGGTGAGTTATGGTTTAATGTTTTATTAGAAATAATGTTAGACAAAGGAAAAGCCTTCAATAAGCACTTTCAAATTTAATCCATTAAGAATTTAAGCCTGCCTAATAATCATTTCCAGTTTAAGCTCAGAGATTAAAGTCCAAAGAGCAATAATGCATAATAATCATATAACAAAGACTGTGTGTTAATCTAATAATTAAAATCGAAAGCAAGACAAATACGTACATGTCCTTTACTTATCCAAATTAATTCCAGCCTCTGTCTCTCTCTCTCTCTCTGCTTTGCTATCTGGCTTTTTTGATTCCAGAATCACGCCTCGGTGCTGGTGAATGGAACTTGCCAGATACCGGATCCGGTGTACAAGCTGGTTGGGTCCATTGTGTGCTTCTACATTCCGCTGGGCGTGATGCTGCTGACATATTGCCTGACCGTCCGCCTTTTGGCCCGGCAGCGCCAGAACTTGGGTGGTGGACAGCAGACGGCAGCGGCCACCCCCGGATGGGCAAGTGGGTGGCTTGGTCAGGCACCGGCCTTGGGTAAGGATTCTCTCCCCACTTCCTAGCAGCCACATTCTCCACCCAGAAGTGCTAACGAAAAGCTGCAGTAGCAGCACCAGCAGCAGCTTAATATGATTTTCAGTTTGCCTAAAATTTGCATTTCGTTCTCGGTTGCACTTTTTGTACTCAAAACTTTACATGGCCCTCGACAAAAGTAGAGAAAATGGGGCGAAATGGGCTGGAGAAAGTGTTGAAAAGAGGAGGGGGGTTAGTGGGCACACAACACTAGACAAACAATGCAGAGACATGTGCCGGATACTCCCAGAATCCGTGTCCCAGGGATTTCTGGGGCCCAAAGTGCGACTAAGCCGCAGCAATGTACACAAAATCGACATTGCCGTCGACATTGAACCGGATGGATAGGGGTAAACACACTCCAGCCCAGTTTAACCATCCGCCCATCCATCCATCCATCCACCCTCTCTCTCCCACACACACACATAGGGAACCTAACAAATAGGAGGAAAATCCGGCCCATATGTGTAGATAGCTAATTTCCACATCGCCATGAATCGAAAGCCAGCAACGTAAATGGCTTGTAATGCTCTAAGAGCTTTTCTGTAGTGCTCAACTAGTTTTAAAACCGAAGTTTCAGGCTTCAACTTTTCAACGAGGGCTTGTTATAGCCGCGTTGTGATGGGAGATTTTTATTAACTTAAAAAAAATGCCTTTAAACGAAAGATTTTTTATGAATTTTTAGCATTTTTAAGGATCATCATCTTTAATATTTCACAACATTTTGGCCTTCCAATTCAGAATTAAGCTAATTTCGAAGTCCAGTAATTACATCTTCATAATTTAGGCCACGTTATTAGCCACCTTAAATTGAGCTTTGAGCTTAAACAATTCCCAATTCTTGGCTACCATTATCCATCTACAATTCAATAGACTAGATTCAATTTATTTTAAGCATAACTAAGTGGTTCCTAATGCCTTTGTCTGCCCGCAGAATTTATTCAGCACCGTTCCCATTTCTCATCCGATTGGATTGGCTTGAGCCCCAAGGGGACAGGGAGTAATTTTCTGGGGGACAACCGAGAGCTGCGAAAATGCCGAAAGTCAATACAGACGGGGGAATATTTAATGGACTGGTTGAGTTTGGTGACTGCAGCTGAATCGCATTCACTGCAGGGCATTTTTGCCAATCCTGGCGAGCATTTAGGGGCTCTTCGCCAGGACGGCGGTGTCCCCGATTCGTTTGAGTGGATTTCAAGCCTCAGCTGCAAGTATTAGGTTGTGCGCTAGTGTGAGTTTGCGTATGTATGTGTGTGGGTGTGTATCCTGTGAGTGTTCAACTGTGTTGGTGGCATGGATTTGGGCAGTTATTTTAAGCCAAATCTCTGCTGTAAAGCGTCCGCATTTTGTACAGGCACGTAGTTGGATTTGCCAGATTGTTCTTTTTACAGAGAGAGAAAAATAATAGAAATGCGTTTATGATATAGGAAATTTGTTGGAAAACTATATATATACATAAATAACGGTTTTAGCCTAGACATATATTAAGATCAAAATGAAAGTCTTTCAATATTTCTCTCAGTGTACACATTAGAGAGGGAATTTCCGGGGATATTCGTGCGAGTTTATTGGCGCATTTGTGACTTTTCGTAGCGCACTTTTGGGCTGACTGCAATTTAATGGAAACTATAGATCCGTTTAACCCATGTTCGTGGTCCACAGAACGCCGTTGCACCTGGCGTCGCCTACTGAAACCGGGTCCCGGGAACGCCTCCTCTGTCCTGCATGCCCACTCAGCCAATTCCACGGACACGGATCTTAGCACTTTGGACAACCATGAGCTGTGGCTGCCCGATTCCAGGTAAGCTTTCAAGCCAGAACACTATTTGTTGTTATGTAAATTACCATATATATTATTGATATATCTGCAGTATAAAAGAGCCCACGCCCACGACAATGACGGCACTGCATCAGTTTGGTGCCGAGATGCTGAAGCTATCCCGTGGCCTAGAGTCGGTGGCATCCTCATCCACCACCGGTTCGCCCACCAAATCCGAATTTTCCATATCGAATCACCTGCAGCTGCAGTACCCCAGCAGTCCCCAGCGATATGCTAGCCACCAGCAGCAGCAGCCGTCCCATCAGCAGCACCATAACCACCAGCAACATCCGGGCAGCGTCTACCACCAGCAGACCTCCCCAAAGGGTCGCCATGGAACCACAGTCCTGGGTCTGTCCACCACTACGCTGGGCATAGAGCGGGAGAGCACCCGGAACTCCTTGGCCAGTAGCCGCATGGGTGGCGAACAGAGCGATGGGTAAGTGGTGCGATTCTGGTCGGCATGTCCATAAATTCATAATCCGCAAAGGAAGCGAAACACGAAAGGTATTTAATAAAGGGTTCCAACCAGTTAGGGAACATAAATTGAGATGATACACATATGTGTTCCAATCCAGTTCAATTTTAACGCATTCTTAATATCTAGATTTCCTACCATTTGCCTCAACTTCCAACCATTTAAATGCTTTCATAGCCAAAAAGTGCTGCATAAGAATAATTAAATTCGTTCTCCACTTAGCCAACAAGCAGAAACTCCATTGTCACAAATAACATTATCACAGACAATTAAATTCATTTAACTTTATCCTTGCCGTGCGCCACAAGTTTCAGTGATATATATTTTTGTCAAACCTCCACTCTCGAAAAGAACGTAGACAATTGTGTGTTTGTGAAAGAAATCCGGGAAAGTACCTGGGAAAACGTGAAGTTTCCTTGGCTGTCTCTTCAAAAGCTAACAAAAGGACAAACAGCAGCTGCGACCGGCAAACCGTTTTGCCCGAGTGATCCTTTCTAGTCACTCGTTGGTCCTTTTGTTGTCCCAGTCTCGGCCGGTTTTTTGAGTCCCAGTCCCGCTTTTGGCTAACAATTTCAGGCCAAGTGTGCTGACCACACCAAAAGCCAAGGCAACTGCTCACCTCGAGTCCTCTTTGTCACTCGTTTACTTTCTCCTTTTCCGTTTTTATTTTCATTTCACTTTTTTTTTTGTAAGCTTTCTCCTTTTTGTGGCATTGCCTTTTATTGTCCTTCCGTTTTCGACTTGTTGTGAAATTTTTCGTAATAATTAATTTTTTTCTCCTACTTTCTCGTTTGCCTTTTGGTCGGTGCAAACTGTTGGGGCAAAAGGAAGAGGCACTCCCTTTTTATTTGGCATTCGAGCCGCTCAAGTGATTTCGACGTCGACTGAGGACCTTTTGCTTAAATGTGTTTTTCATTAATTTTCTAATTTTAGTCGACTGGCTTATGTTGGGCTAAGAGACGCGTCGAGAAATTCAATTAAAAAAATTGAAATCATAGCAGGCGAATATTTTTAATACTCCCAGGAATGTAATAAGAAATGGAAGAGTGGGGCAGAGGGACATATGAATGAGGTTGGTCAGTTGGAAATGGTGTTAAAGACTAATAGCTTACTAAAAAAAACTTTAGGCAGAGTATCTATGCCTTTAAAGTGCAATTTCATTTATCTAAAGCCTTCAGAATTCATCTCTGTATATGAATTTCAATCAATTTATTTTTCCTTTGCATCTTTTTTATCAATAGTATGAGCTTTTATATACCTTACTGCACATCAATTAAATAACCAGCTTTAATGACTTAAATTCTCGGCTTGATTTTTAAGCATGAATAAAAGGCAGCTCAACTTACGAGATGACTGAACATTATATCCCGTTCATATTTTTCCTTTCAACCAATCCCCGATGCACGTTTACCATATATCATATATCAATGTGACTGTGCGCTTTTCATTGAACTGACTGGAATATTGGGTATTTGTGCCTCATATATATACGTATCTGCCACATTGTTTGACAGTTGAACGAATTTGCACAATCAATAAAATGGATTTCGGCTTTGGCTTCCTTTTGTCCGCAGATGGATGCAAAGTGGCAAAGGGACTAAAACGAAGCGAGAAACGGGGTCAACGTCGAGTGGCTTTTAATTGTTGCACAATTTGTCGTCTCATGCGGGAAACTTGGCAAATGATGTTGGCGGTATTCTAATTTTTGGGACTTAACGCACATAATGATGACGGAAACTTTGGCTTCAGATTCTGAAATCAGCTCAACACTTTGTGCTTGTGCTTTATTTGAATCTGCCGGAGGTCCTTGTTTGAATGTCCTGATGAGCTTGGCAGCTGTTTAATTCCTTTGTGACTGAAACAATAACAATCTTGGCATCAGCTCGTCTTTGTTTCACTTGCATAATGAGAAGTTGGCCTCCTATATCCAATCCCTATGCCCCGACGGATCCACATTGCTTAGCCCTGTTCCGACGCATCTCAATTTATGCGCACGTCTCGTGCAAACAAATCAAAAACGCGAAGGATGCATAATGAGCTGACATCCTTATCCAGCGTCTTGGTCTCCGAGCAGCTTCTTCTTTGTCCCTACATCTTCATCTTGGCCTGCTGTCTGCTAACGCCTTCATTAGCAGCTAACCACGCCTGCTCCGTCTCCGTTGCCGCCTCCCTCATCTTGGCCAAATAAAGTTGGCGCGCATTTGCATGCAAGGCAAACGGGCGGCAAGACAAAAACCGCAAAGGCAGCTCGCAAATTTATGCGCTTTATTAAAATGAATGCAAAATGAGCTGAAGAAGGGAGCCAGCTCTCTAAAGAGAAAAAATGTTTAAATTGTTTCTATTATTAGGAAATTTAATGGTACTTATATATTAAAAGAATATATTTCCATTTTTAAGAACTTTAGACTTCACTTCGGGCATATATAGCTTTGAACTCACAAAACCAATCATAAAATATAAACATAGAATTTTCTTTTTTTATAGTTTTTTTCTGTGTAACCCAAAACTGCCGTGAAAATGAAAAGAAAAACTCTTAAGAAAAAAATGTTAGACTGCGGCAGACCACAAAGCGCAAAAACAAAAAATGTTGCCTACTTCCCAGCGTGCCACAACACGGTAAAGGTGAAAAGAAACGAGCTGACCACAAAGCGTGTTCGCTGTTGTTGAATTACTGTTAGCGAGTGTTCACTGCATTGTTTTAGGCACCTCGCCTTCAAATAGAGTTTTGCCAATTGGCTGCGCAATTTTAATTAAAAATGTACATCGCCCAAGGGGAGAGAAAATTCATTGGACAGAGAGAGATGGTAGAAGAAAGTGGCACGGAAATGGGCACTAAATCAATAAATCGGTGGGGTATAACATAGACATATTTTATAAACTTTCATTAACAAAACCGCATGGTGTGCCTTAAATTTTAGTGCAGCAACTTAAACCACAGAAAGAGCTTAATTAACGAAGCTAAAAGTTAAATTAGGATCTGAAAACATTTCATTAAGCAGATTATCAAAGTAATCTGATTTATGTTGACTTAGTCCATTGAGTTAGTCAATTAGTCAGATGAAAAATCCGCTTACACAGCTTCTAACACCTTCCCATGTTTCATTTCAGAACACTCTCCCAGCTTTCCCAGCGTTTGCGAGCCTACAAAAAGCGACGGAGGGCATCGTCAGCGGTTCCAGGACGAGATCGACGCTCTGGCCATGAAGATGCCGACGAAGATCTGGACACTCCTACGTCAACGTTGCGCCGCCACAAACGCCATAACAGCCTGCCTAAGAATGCGCTTTATCCGCGACACACCACCGTACAGGAGAGCCTCGATGACGACGACGATGACGAGGAGGAGAAAGATCAACAGGGGAACACAAAGTTCTGCCACTCGGACACCGAGCTGGATCCACCGCAGAAGCCCAAACAGTGTCATATAGCTGGCCAGAATCACCAGACGGACTACCTGCAGTTGCCCTCCGTTTGCACATGTCCGTATTTCGGGGATAGACCTCTCCAGAATTGCGTGAAAACGGCAGAGGTGAAGATCATTTCATCCGCTTTCCGAGTGACCACCACCACGACGGCGGTGAGCAGTTCGCCCAGCGAAATGGAGCTACTCATGTGCAGTGGGGGCAATAAGAAGTCCCTGACTTCCAGTGTGAGTGCTGGAATGACAGGTGGTTCGGCAGGCGGAGGAGGACCTCCTCCCACTGGTGGCTCCACCCTCAGTCCACATTCTGCCCACAATCAGGGAAGTTCCCTGACGGTTCAGAGTGATGGAAGTGGTTATTTGGCTGCTCCAGGGACTCCCTGCCCTGGTAGAAGAAAGTTAAGTATCTCGAAGACCGCTTCGGTGGTCACTTGGGATTCCAGTCGTCATCGCCGGCGGGGAAGCAGTTTTGGCGGAGTGCGGACATCCCTCCTGCTGACCCCCACCAAAACAGCAACTCCCTCAACTTCATCCACCCCGCTGAGAAGATCTGCAACCCTCAGAAGTCACCAGAATATGAACTATCAGGGAGCAGGAGATTGTGGTGGCAAGACCAGGACAACCACATCTTCGCCCTGCATGCTACAGCGACAGCAGACAGTGCGATCGCATCACTCGAGGAACTCCAGTGTGATCTCCAGGAATTCTTCTCGCCACGGCAGGATCATCAGACTGGAACAGAAGGCCACCAAAGTACTGGGGGTGGTGTTCTTCACCTTCGTGATCCTGTGGTCACCATTCTTCGTCCTAAATCTCCTGCCCACAGTGTGTGCGGAATGTGAGGAGAGGATAAGCCATTGGGTCTTCGATGTGGTCACTTGGCTGGGCTATGCCAGTTCCATGGTAAATCCCATCTTCTACACCATCTTCAACAAGGTGTTCCGGCAAGCATTCAAGAAGGTCCTGCTGTGTAGGTATTCCAGCACGAGTGCCTGGCGACCAAGTAGATAGCAGACGCCCGTGAAACCGGGCAAACTCAAGACGAATCCCCATAAGTGCGCCAGTGTGGATTTTCAGGATTCCACTGCCCCAGTGCGGGGCGTTCTCAAAAGAAGTGTGGCGGTGGCAAGTGACATATAAATAGACAAGGCAACCGGTCATTTCGCCTGCGGTCTACCGCACAACGTGTCGTATACACAATCTCAGAGGGATGCCGTCTCCCATTCCCTTGCACGTGTGTCCTTGGGGCTTAAACGCTTATGTGCCTCTAATTAATTTCAAATTCAATTTGCATGCCATTGGAAAACACATGGCTAAGGAGTGGATTGGATTGGAGTCGAATCCTCCGCAGGATTGCCAACGGTCTGGGCTTAAGCTGGCCGCAGACAACAGGGTAACGAGCATAGTGTTCTACTCTTGTGGTCCCTCCTCGGCCGACGGTGAGGATGCAATTAATTGCGGAATGTTTGTTTTCGAATAACATAATAATCCTGGAAACCGCATTAACTCCCTTGGAATGCTGTTCAGTGGTCGGTGAAGTTCTAATGAACAGATATTTGAAACCATTTACAGGGAATTCCTTTGGGAAACTTAAAAGATTTAAGTATTAAGTTCTTCTGGACAGAATTCTTATTTCATTCCCAGAAATAAGTTCTTAAATTTTGATATATTTTAAATTTCTCCAAACTCCAATCGATAAACGCCACTTTCTTCGACATTTGGCAATTATGCATTAAATTTATGGCAAATTTCTTAGCCGCAAATGCACAAAGAATTTCATTGGTATCCATTAAAGTAACCGACACGTACACAAATCCACGGCAATTTGTGAATTTTGTTGTTTGTTCGTGTGGCTGCCGCAGCTCTTGGCCCGGCAGATTGCTATTTTTATTTGAAAAGTTCATTCATTTTGTTTTATTTCTGTGGCCAAATGAAAAATTTCAGCTGGTCACGTAAGAATTTGACGGTCAGGATGTGGATGTGGATCCAGTGGCCAAGTCGAACAAGAAGTCGGACCAGCTGGCTGAAGGACATCAAACAACAAGGGGCTAACTGTAATAACGAAAGACGGGATAAAAGTTTCCAATGTGCTGCCAAGTTTTAAAGCCCCAGATGAGCGGTTCGCTGTTTTTTTTTCAGGTTGGCAAGGGGAGCGGGGTGGCAAATGATAGGTAATGACGCCATTAGTGGCAGCCACTCAAAAGCCCACTCTCGATGACACCTCACAAAACAGCCGGAAAAATTTGTACCATTTTTGCTGACAAATTTTTAGCGCCCTTAAAAAACTTCGCACAGCAGGCGTCAACGTCAGCGTTCTCGTTCTCGTTCTCGTTGTCGTTGTCGTTGTCTGAGTCGGCTGGAAAATGCTGAAAACAGACATAAGGAAACCCCCGTGGCACTTGGAAATTTATAGCAATTTTATCGCCGGCGGAAATATTTTTTCCACTTCATTGAATCCCTGGCAAAAGGCAGGTCGCGACTCGGTCGCAAAAAGTGTCGCACTTGGGGAACTTCATTGAACTTTAATGGCAGGCCGATGGGCAAACAACAAAGGCCGTCAGAGACAGTCGTTCCAGGCAGGTCCTAAGCCCACTTCCGTTTCCTCTATTACCACTCCTTCCGTCACATCCACAACATATGCTCGCTTGCAGGCAGGAAAATAAAAAAGAAAACTAACTATTTGGAGGAAATCCATTACACTAGCTCAGACGCCTTTGGAAAAGTTTCTCAAAACCCATTTTTTGCCCACAAAAGTCAAGAGAGCTTATAGGGGGTTATAAAAAGTTCTTATCTGTTTTTACATTTTTAAAATTGTTTACCTTCTAAGGTGATTTCCATGAAACACAAATCTAGCTTCCCAATTTCAAACCTGCAACTGAAAACTACTTTTCTCTGACCATTAACTAACACTTTTCCAGCTTTATTGGTCGAATTAAAAAGTTGAAAAGCTGTTAAACTTACTAAAGGGCAAGCTCGTAAACAATAGACAAGTTTTTGAAAGTAGAAAATACTCAACACATGGCATCACAACATTGTCTGAAGCACTAGAACAGATTTCACCATAGAGCATAAGTTTAAAACGAATTTAAAAACAAACTCACAGCTAAACTAAAAATATATATAAATTGTAATCGATGTTTTGAAAGCTAAATACTAACTAAGTAAACTGTAAATTGTAGATTGATCATTGATTTATATAGATCTATATGAATCAAGAAAGGGGAGCATTGTGACAAAACGCTTTTACCAGTAGTCCTAGTTATAACGAGTGGCATCCCACAGATGTCAACTCTCAACCTAAACTGATCTATGGAATAAGTAAATCTTGTAAATACTTCAAACAAACAACAACAATAACACCCTTGGGGCAATCAAGTTGTGTATGATTTGTGTTTATTTAGCTTAAGGAAGTGATCGGAGTCGAAGAACCCATCAAGCCTTGCCCTGATTAGATTAGATTGTAGTGTAGCTTGATCTGGAATGTTTTGTGATTTGTAGACAGATGGAATATATATATATTTACTAACTATCAAACACCTCCAACAGGACAATGGCTAAATGGTAACCGAGAGCATTTTCAAAAGGGGTCAAACTTAAGGTTTCCAAACTGCGAAACTTTCGAATTTGTAAAAGAATTAAGAAAAAAAAAAAACCCGAAGCCAAGCTCAAACTGCGCTTGTGTGTTTTACCTACGTATTTAGCCATAAGAATCTGAATTAATCAAAACCGCTTTCACCGAGACAGATAAATACCAAGAAATATGTTACTAAAAGAACATCTAATAGCCCAAAAGTACATATCCCCCAAATATAAGTGTGTATTTTATGGTAGCCATAGAGAATCCTTCCTAATCTAAGTCAAAGACACTGAAACGTAGATAAAGAAATATGTGAAACATATTAGCTATAATGTATTATGATTTCTACAAAATGTTTTCTGATTGTATTTGATTTGTATTAAATGTGCATTACATAAATTGCCAGCCATTGACTTTTATTGGGAAAATTTACGCTGCAAAAAAATGTGAAATAGTGATGGTGTTTGGATTGGCAATCATTTGATGTAATGAAGGGTTAAAAAAACATCAAAAGAGACTCCCACTGGCAATCCAATAACTCTCCTCATTATCCTATCGGAATGAGATTCAACTTTAACTGAGTTACGGAGGGAAAAAGAATCTTAGCTGTAAGATTTATGTTATTACAAATTCCTTTTAGGTGCTACTAAATGAGGTCAGGTATCAGTTGAAAAATGTTGAGCTCTTCCAAGAATAACCATCCGCGTAATTGACCATAATCCGAACTAAGTTGTGCCAGCAACGAAAATAGAATGCTTTTCAATGCCAGGACAATACAAGTGCAATTTAAATTCAATTTCCTGCTGCCCACTCAAAAAACATTGCGTATACGACCAGTTGGTCAGCGTGGAAACGGGCGTAGGAGTGGCATCAACTGCAGTGGTGGGTGGCACTCAAGAGACTAGCCAAACAGAAACGAGCTTGCTGCATTAGCCCCGCAAGTTAAGCGATAATGATAATTATTCCCGGGAACTTGACAAATTAATGCACGCTAATGCCGCACAAATTTTGTACTTGAAGAGGCCGCAGAATTTTGAGCAAAATGTGCACTGTAAATCCCTCCCACAAAGTCATAGAAGAGCAGAAGAAAAAAACAAAAAGACCGTAAAAAATGAGCAAAGTCAAAATTGCGACTACTCAGCGTCTCTTAATTTTATTTGCAGCTTTAAGGGCTCGTAAAGTAGCGCGAAAAAGCGTAGAGGCCCGTTTAATGGATTCCCTTTGCCCTATGGCCCCTTCCCTTGCGTTCGCTGGCTAAAAAAGTCCCCTTTACTTGAGCAGAATCCAAAAGAAAAAAAAAAGTTGCCATAATAAACGGTTTTTGTGCGAAGCGACAACGCCGCCAACTTGAAATTTCTGGCTAAGTGCGCCTACGGGTAGGCAGCAAAAATGCCAAGAATTCCCGGAACTCTGAAGCATTTTCATGCGCTTTCAATCTGCATATGTGTGTGCTCAAAGGTGCGGGTGATAATAGTTCTTCTTTCTTCTTCTTCACCTTTTTTTTTTGTAAATATTTGCGAATGCAAAAGCGGTTTGTGGAAAGAGGGGGAGGCTGGGCGTAGATTGGTCCTGCACTTAAGTCCATGGGCCTACAGCCAACTGGCGAGCGGAAAGAAAAAAGCACTCACATTTTTAAATATTTTTATTTCGCGTATAAAAAGATAAACCAAAAAAGTAACAAACAGGCGAACACTTTAATACCCTACATGGTAAAGGAATTAAGATTAAATATAGAAAAATTTCATGTTAAAATTTAAATTTCTAAAATTCCAATCATAATGCCAAGTTCTGGATTATGCAAGACTATCAATAAAAATTTGTTACTTGGAAGACATCCCTTTGCATATTTGCATCAAAAGTAGGAACCTTAAATCAGCTTTTGTGGTCCACTTGGCTTTGAATGCCAAGGCTGATTGTGTAACAGGATTTCGCAGTCCTTATGTTCAATTGCCAACAAATTGTGTGTAGTTCCTGTTGTACTGCAGGGTATGAAAAGCCTCAGTGGCTGCAGTTTCCCATTTACCATTGGCTTTCTACCAAATGGACATATGTATGCATCTCTCTCTCTATATATATATTTATATCGTAGTGGGGAAATCATGCCACCTGCCATGAAAACTGTGTACATTGATTGCATTGATTTATGGCTCAGATGCTGCTCCATGTCGCTTGTTGCGCACTTTATGGCCATTTCGATTGGCTCTTTGCATCAGCACAAAAGGCTGAATTGCAATGCCTTGCCTTTTGCCAAGTGCCATGCAATTCTGCAACATTTTAAAGCCGCTTTGCGGCAGAAAGCCAGACCGCACACACATTGAGGAAGAGACCAGAAGAGCCATGAGACTATAGTCACATTATGGCGAATCACAATCAAATAGCAAGGCGCTGAGGTTAGGTTGGCTGGGTTGGATGATATGGGAATGGGGAAGGAAAAACATATTCCAATGTTCTCATTTTGGGAAATATTTATTAGGTGGTTTTAAAAATGATAAAATTTCAAGAGATTTTTTAGAACCTTTTTTATGTAAATAAAAAGTTTAAAAAGTTGCGAAGTTCAAGTACAAATTTTAAAGTTAAACTATTTATTTTAACAGAATGTTCGGGTGTGAGGTTCTGTCTTTTCTTAGAACACTAAAGTCCTAGAATTTCTCTCGTATTACCATTTTTTGATTTCAGTTTTATATTTAAAATCAAACTGGGAACAGATTCAAGATGTAGATGGGGGTGATTTCACCAGGCAGGCCAGCTAATTGAAAGCCTGCATCTGAATGTGCCTGACAAATTGGCGAGCAGGTAAAGAAGCCGTTAACAAGGATTTCCACTCACCACCCATACGGCTCTCCTTAATGGGAAATTATATGCGGCTTTGTTTTGTTTCGGCTTGTGTGTGTTCATGTGTGTGTGTGCCTTTTGGGGGAGTCCTTTGTCCTGACCACAGGCGAATACCCGTTGGCTGAATCGCTTGCAATTTATGTGACAGCATCAGCTCGACAAAGACAAACACACAGAAGCATAAACCCACACACACTCACACGCATAACGTAAAACCCTATTTACCTTTATGTGTGCTGAATGACATTGCGTATGCGACATGTTGCACAAACCGAAGGCAATTGGGGTCTGAATTTCACAATTACTCGCCCAGATGCGGACAACATGCAAATGTAATATGAAGTAATAATGAAATTAGCCAACAACAGCCGGGCTCTTTGACATCAGCAGTTGGCGCTGTCCTGATTAGATTACCTCCCACCGCTCCCCGCCCATAATGATGATAGAACACCATTTTGACAGGTGCCAGGGTTCTTGCTGAAGTGTGAATTGAATCAGAGTTCATTTGATCACAACTCAGGTTGGAATTTCTAATGACTTTAAATTATGGCTTTTTTGCTGCCTAACAGGTAATGTTTCCGGCCTTTAAAAAGGCTACGTTTGGAATATTAGATATTTATAGAAATGGAATAAAATAGAAAATATAAACCGTAAACAAATATTAATTCAGAAACTAACAAATCAGCTAAGTTTTATATTTAAAACACTAAAAATAAAGACCTATTTCAAAATCATATTTTCCCTCAACTTAGACAGCTCTCTAACATTTTCCCCCAAATAAACCTTAAGTGTGAGTTGGCATTCTTCTGCTACCGCCTAATATTGATTGCTTTCAATTAAAATACCGCCAGCTGACTGCCGAAAAAGTTGACACGGCATGCCATTGTGTTAATTTAATTTCAAGAGACTACTTCAAAGTTGCCGTCTGAGCGGAGGTCCTGGGAGAGAGGAAAGGGATATTGACAGCATTGGCCTGCGGCTAGATCCTGTCAATTCTATGCGGGCACTCTAGACAGTTTTTGTTGGCCCATTGCCAGTCCAGCGACAGGACGATGGATCTGGATCTGGATACGAGAGGGGGTAAATTCTGTTTTCATTCATCCACTCAACCTTAATTCAATCAGTTGAAGTTCTGGGTTAAAATTGAATCGGTTTTTTGCACAAGCAATCAAGTTTTTATGCGAAGCTAATGGGCTAAAACAAAATAAAGACCATTAGCATGTACCTTTAAATCCTTTTGAATGTAAAGGCTGGGAAATAAACCCTTTCGTTATGTTTTTTGCAGTAGTTTTTTCTTTATAAATGAAAAGAATAAAATGGATTTTATTACAAAATTTTCTCTTTAAAGGTCTAACTATTTTCTTGCTTTTAAAGCTATTACCGTTTAATCAACATTAATTACAACTTAGTCATATTTCAAAGAAGATCCTTGCACTCAATAATTTTATTAATGAATTCCGTTGATCAACATTAGAAATTAACGCCTTGCCCAGCAAGATATTCTACCTCCAGATGGTTTGATTTATCCTTGCAATCATTGTGCCAGCTTATGTCTCCATTTATGGACTTTAGCCAATGGCCTGATGCAAATGCTCCTGCCATTGAATGCATTATTTTTCCAAGCTAATCCTACCATGGATACCGAGCACTTTGATAGTCCGTTTTGCTCCCTTTGCTGATGGCCTGCTTCCCGTTGCCATGACATCGACTGTCATTTGTGGAGGGAGAAAATATGGCAGGGCATTTGTCTACTGGCCGGCAACTGCTGCTGCCCAACTGTGCACTGTTCGCTTATCAAATATCGTGTAATATAAATGTCCTGCTGGCTGGCTACGGCAGACACGCATAAAGGTAGTTAGCGTGTAGAGAGAGAGTGGAAGCGGAAGTGGAGAAAAGTGAAAGGCATTTCCGTAGACGAAACCGAACCGAGCGACAAAGAGAGAAAGCACAAAAAGAGCACACAATACAAAGGGAACAAAAAGGTAATCATCTAAGCGCGATGTGCGCCCCAATGTAGGCAGCAAAAACTGAAACAAATGAGTCTCTATAAATACACACGTAGCATTGCCCCATTCCGTATTTCCCATTCCTCATTCCTCATCCATCCACATTCACTTTCACATCCATCCACCCGGATCCAAAAGTTATAGCCAAGTCACCGGGGCCAAAAGAAAGAAAACTTTTCTCTATGTGGGTGTCTGGGTATTTGTGTCTGTGACACAATGAAAAATGCAAAGCGCAAATGAGTTGAAAACTTTGCCATAAGTTTCGGTGCGTACGACGTGCAATCGCAAAATTAAAGGCGACTTTTAGGCTTCTTTACAAAATCTGCGAACTTTGTTTCAACAGATACGCGCCGACATTACAACAAGGCCAATTTTTAAGTGGGTACATTAGCTGTCATTGAAAATTGGTCCTGTCAAAGGGAATATTTACTTGGGCTTTTAGGCTTAGACTGGTTGTATTGCTCAGCTTTTAAAAGGAAACGGAACTAGCATTATAGAAGGCTATTAGTATATAAAAGGCATACATAAAGTAGGAAACTAACATATAAAACTTCTAGTAATATCACAGATATGAACATTTATCTTGCAGAAGTTAAACTTGTATCCGTTTCTCAACTTGAAGAGGAGCAACTTCCACAGCATTCCTACATCTAAAGAGCATCTAATTATCGCCATGCTAAATGTTTGCACTTCTGAAATGGGAACTCCTCGGAAAATTGTTGGAAAAAGGGCTGTTTATCAGTGACAAGCCAAAGGCAAAAAAGAGACATGGGACTTAGAGCCGCTTTTCGCGGGGGGCTTCGTTAGGAGTAAAAGTGACTAAGGCCCCACCACATCTGCTCGTGCTGCAAAATGTTAAGTAAACATTGGGACGCGGAAATGTAAATATTATTTGCATTTTCCTCGACTTGTTTTTAATGTGTAGAATAAATATCAAAGTGTACAAACTGTAAGACTGAGAATGTGTTTCTAGTTTAGAGCTCTGTTTCGGCCTTCTTGGCAGCCAACTTTTGTAGTAAAGTCAAGAAGCTAAAGGCCTGCGTAATAACCTGAAAGATAAGAATTTGGTATTTTGTAATGGAGTCTGGAATTTGGTTTATAACAACACTAACCGATCTCAAACGATTAACATCCATCACATAAAACTTGCCAGCGGTCACATGAACAGCCCGTCGACTGTTGACCAGGAAGATGAGGATGTCCTGGCGAATGAAATGGGCATGCTTCCACCAAGAACCCCGCCAGAAGGCATCGCCGGATCGTATACTATGCCGACTCAGCAACTCGCCGCAATAGGTGAACATCAGAAGCTCAAAAAGGGTCAGGCCCAAATATTGCAACTGGTTGACTATTCGCAGGACCTCCCGGGTTCCCGAAACGCCCACAAAGACCAGAAGGCAGAGCTGAAAGGTGATTTGCAGGGACTTGACCAGACAATATGGACTGAAAAGGTTCTCCAACTCCAACGAACAATGCAGGATGAAGCGATGCAGTCGAACGCATTCCACCAGAGCACTATGGAACGCATTTCCAGGGCCAGGAGATTGGCGTCCTGCCAACATCATCAGCAAATCTGTAGGGTGCTCTTGCAGAACGGCATACTGATTCAACTCCCTGGTGGAGTCCTCTAGCAGCAATTCCTCTTGCAGCAACCTGAAAGGGAAAATATTGCATTTATGAAACTGCTGACAGAGATTTTAGTTCATAAAGGATCAGGGACACAGAAGGAATATATATTATTCCTAAAAAAGCTTGTTGAGATTTCTCATTCACCTGGTTACTAATACATACCTCAGGCCATTTACGGACTCCCCGGATAGCAACCTGGCATGGGCATCCAGATTCTTTAGACTACAGTAGAGCACATCGAACTGCCCCAGCAACAGCAAACTGAGGGTAACGAACAGTGATCCCCCGAAGCCAAAGGTCACGCCCACCAGGACCTGACCAAAAAGCTGGGTGGCATACATGGCCGAATATGTGACGGGGGCCAAGGCGTCGAAGGGATACCAACACTGCAGCGGCAACATCCGGATGCCCAGTATCAACGGCGTTACGCCCCAGGTGATCACGCCCAGCAGGCAGGCCATTATCCACACGGCCGTGAAGTTCCAGGACTTCCTGAAGGCCGCATGGCTGCTCACAAAGGTCACCCCGGCCAGCGAATGGTGGCGATATTCGCGGTTGATGTGCTCCATGTATAGCAAAAGGCGCCGGGAGCGAACACACCAGTAGATTGTCCCATAGCCGGTAAAAAAGTATATTATGGTCATGGTGAGGGCATCGGTTATGGCCTGCAGCTCTCCCGTCGGCAAAACATCCAGTGTGGTCTTTGTGAAAAGGACTCCCAAATGCAGCGATGTAAAAATCACCATAGAGCAATAGAATTTGGCCAGGAATTTGCCTCCAAGGTTCAACCATTTTGGCCACCATTTTGGTAACCTAGGATTCGGTTCCATTCCCATGGCCAACTGTAGTCCCATCAGAAGGCCGAAAAGATTCGATTCCCTTGCCGGATCCAGGCTAACATCATACCTGATGTTCGCATTGACGTTGCCGTGAAACTGAAGACTGGCCATCGACTGGATTTCCGGAATGTCAGACAAAATCGAACTACTTATGGGCTGCTTGAGTCTCTTGGAGCTCCTATTTAAAGGCCTCTAAATTTATGCATTAATGAGTTTTTAAAAGTTTTCCCCTCCGAGAGTCGCCTACTTTTTATGGAAAGGTGTCTGGCTGGGCGTGGCTCATAATTAACCGACTAAATGCCTAATTGCCCCGTGAAAGGACGCTCGGCAAAGTTGGCGAATATTTCGAAATCTAAAACTTAATTTTAATACGAACTTGTAGTTTATAATTTATAATTTACAATGGGTTCAAGGTTGTTACTTAAAGTCGAAAAAGGGTTTTAAAGGTTGTTCTATGTCTGCTTATGCTTATTGGAATTAAAGGTGTCTGGCTGGGCGTGGTTTCTAATTAACCAAGTAAATGACTTTTTAAAGAAAAGTTTGGAAAAGTTTCCCAAATATTTGGAAATACAAAGTTAGAGATTGAACACAACCAAAAATTGAACATTTTTATGTTTACATGGCATATTCATTTTTGTAAGAATCAGTCATTAATATAATCTTTAATGGCTTTTAATATTTTCAAGGGCAAACCAACAAATAATAAGAAATGCAATGAAAAATAACCATGCATTTCACATTCATTTTCACGCTTTTCCTTAATTAATGCCTATAAATAACAATAACAACTCTTCACGGCATAAATTAAACTTCTGGTGCGAAAATAAATACAAACAGTCTAAAACCGCAGACAAATGGCTTTTAATATGTGTTCATATTACCAGTAACCTCTCCTTTTAATTGTAATTACGCAATTTTGCATTACATACAGGGGGCCCCTGGATAACGTCAAACTTGACCTTCGAGCGACAGAAATATCCTTAAAAATAATTGCCGCGCAATTTGCATTTATTGAATATGAATGTGAAAATCCATAGAGGTTTATTACCCACGTCTAATTGCCCCAGAGCTTCGTGGCATTCGTGGCAACATTCAACATTGCAGAGGGAGGATAGAGAGAGAGAGAGAGTGAAGAGCGATGAAAGGAAACGGGTGAAATGGCTCATAGAAAATGCTAATTGCCAAGTGAACTTCGCACACCTTGCAGGTGGCAAAAAGCACAAGCCATATGTTGGCGTGTCGTGATCATGTAAATTAGTGGTGCCAACCAAGCATTTAATTAGCCCCCAGCGACATGCAATTAATTCTACAAAATATTTAGCGAACGGTTGAGGTTGACAAGTGTATTTGCAACTTTTGACCGACTCCCACCAATATAAATGCAAACTAATTTAAGTCCCTGCAGGCTTTCTCTCTTTCTTTTTTTATTTCCCGAAAAATTGTTACACATTGTTGGCCAAAAATGGGGATCTGAAATGGACGGTTCAGGCTGGCAGGCCCGCGGGTTTATGTCTGAGTTATCTCTGGTGCTTGGCAGCTACTTGGCCAAATTGTTGTCGGGCTGTAAATGGTAAAAAAAAACTTTACAGTCCCCCATGCGTCCTGCGTCCTGTGGCTCCTTTTGGCAATTCGTTTTACGTGTCAGTCGGTTTCATTATATATGCATGCTCCCCCAATCCAGGTTTTTATTTTACTTTAACTTAACTTTATTTTTTTCTTGCAAGTCTGTCAGCCTGTTCTCACGCATGTCGAGAGTTGTTTCGAGTGAAATTCACCTGCTGTGATTTATTCAATCAACTTGTGCGACGTCCCACAAGAACTCAACTTGCTCAGGTTGCCTTTATTATTTAGGCATCTTTGTTGTCTCCGTCGATGCGCCTTATGCGAGTTTAATGTCACTCGCCGGGCTAAACAAACTTGGCTGCCACATTTAATCTGCATAATTTTTATGAAAATTACAACAACAAAATACGTTTTGGGGGAGATTTTTCTAAGAAGACAGCGCATAAGATACAATTTCACTCATATCTGAAACGAAATTACTTTTAAGATGCTCAGCATTTGTGGTGTCGCCTTAATTGCCGTCACACGCGTCGTATGCTTAATCTGTGAATTTTTATTTCCGTTAACTCTGATTTTGGGTTTATTTATAGGGCAAACTTTGGATGTAACTTATGCTGTCTGAGGCTAAAATTTTTCTATATAAATATAAATTGTTAAATTATAAAACACAAAATTAAAGAACTTTTGCATATTTATAAACATTTTTTTTCCATTCAAAGGTTTTTCCTTTTCTTTTAGACATAACCAATTTCATAAAAATCCATTAACTGAAATTTATTTGCATTTTAAAACCAATACATAATCTTTGTACAAAAAAGAACACTTGCAAGGTTAAAAATAACCTTTTTTCGAGAATAGTGAATGTGTGTCAAAAATTGATTGAAATAGTTTTGCCCGCAAATCTCTTTTTCATATTTTAATCTTCTTTTTCATAAACATTCTCGTACACAATTTAATACTTATTCATTATATATTCCCGTAATCCAGTGATAAAATAAAATTTACAAAAAAAATTGGCACCTGGCGTATGCAGAGTTTTTAATTAAATGTCGCAACGTACGAGTAGATGAAAATAAAATGAATTCCCCTTGCCACCTGTAAAAATATTTTTAGAGCTTTGCGTGGCCATCCCCGCAGACCATTTTATTTCGGATTTCCTGGGGATCTGGGTGCGATTGCATTGTGCAGCAAACTTTTTAATTAATTGCGCTGGCCAATTTTTCGGCGGGGGCCAAACGCTGTAATTGCTATTGAGTGTTGCAGGGGCAGAGGTGATGGCCAGCTATGGGCGATGAGCGAGAGAGAGTGGACCACATGGACATCGCTAATTTGCTGTCGACAGACAAGCGGGAAAAGCGGAACCGGCGGGTCAATCAGTTGGTCATTTGGGTGGCAAGGTGGCAGGTTGGTTGGGTGAAAGATGGGGTGTGGTTCAAGCCACTCTTTTGCCAAAGGTCCTACAGTCACGCGCTCCGCTCGCCTCATGTTTGCTAATTTATGCGGCACTGCAGCCGCAGGGCGACGGTAAACAGCGAGCGGTAAAAGTTTCCCAACTGGCACTGAACAAGGAGAAAAAGGTTTTCCGGGAATCCGAGGATTAAAATACCCTTTCAGGATAAAAGTGAAACTTATATCTCAAGTTACTTATAAAATAATAACTAAGCAGTCTATAGCTTGAAATGATAATCCCAGCTTAAGATCTTTTAACTTGAAAGACGCACTTTATAAAATATTTATTTTAATTCACTTTAATATTTCATGAAAGGAAGTAGTTTTCTGACTCTAAACTTTAAAAGTTTTTAATACCCTAAGCTAGAGTAAAAAAAGGAAGTACTGATGGAAAAGCGTAAAATGAAATGGAAATGAGAAGTGGAAAATGGGAAAACAGGAACAGGATCGGAAGAGGACTGGCTGCTGGCAACGCCTGTCATTGTTTTTTGCCGCTCTTGTTCGCGCTTTAAACTTTGCTCTCGCCTCGATAACCCCGGCCACATTCATTACACATTGATGGCCAAGTCTTCCGCCAGTTGTCCACCCCAACTCCACCCACTCCGCCCACTTCTCATCCGCTTTACAGTCGAATGTTGCCTTTTATTTCCTTCGGCCGCTGCACAAAACAATTTGTCAAACAACAAGCGAAAAACTTTCTTCACTCCAGGGAGGTTAAGGTTCAACACATTTCCACTTTTATGAGGGCCTGTTAACCCTACAGCAGCCCATTTCGAATTGATAGAAAAACTTTTACTTACACTTTTTACTAAGTTCAATTTAAATCGTTTTAATAATTTATTTCATTTGGATTTCATGGCCAAGTCATAAAGTTCTTGCAAACATTATTTGCATAATACAATAAATTTGAAAATAAATTGGGTTTTGGTAATCATTATGATGATATATTGCTCTAAAGCTATATTCAGAATATAATTATTAATGTTATTGAGAAGGAATAGATATATGATCTAGAATAAATGGTTGTTTTATAAGAATTGTCTTATTAAATGTGATTTAAATTCACTCCTCTTCATGGTATCCCAAACACCAAGGGGTTAAGCTCCAATAAGTCTGTTTCCCAAGAGGTGGGCGGAAATACAGGAGATTCTTTAAACTTTTGGTTAAGTTGGCAACTGATACGATGAACACAAACTGCCGGAGTACAAATGCTCGACTCGCATAGCTGACATCCCTCGAAGGCCTGACTTAGAATTTGCACAGTTTGTTAGGTCGTTTTGTTCGGCAATTTTGTGCTGCCTGGCAAAAAAGTTCCTAATGCAATTTTGTTAAATATTTTTGCTGTGATTTCGTTTGGCGGTGCCCCCGAGAAAATAGTTAAGCACCCTCCCCCTCCACCACCACTACCACGATCAAAATGTCCCAACTATAAGCTATGCCACTTTTTCATCTCTGTTTTTTTGCAAGTGAAAAGTAAACTTTTCGACCTGCCAAATTGAGTTTGGAAGTTGCAAACTGTCTCAACTGACAGGCCACATATGAGGCTAATTCAATTTGAGGTAAGTGGTGGCACTTTCTAACATTTGCCACGCCCATACCAAGGACAGCCAACCGTCGGCCCGAACTACAATAACAATTAGCATTATCACATTGATGAGGCGCCACCGCTTGTGCCGCACCCACTCACACCCCACTCCGCGGTTTGTTGTCCTAGTAAATGTGGCCGGGATTTGCTTTGGCGCGTGTCTCGTAAAACGGGAGTAAACTTAATTACTGCCTGGATCTGCAGCAATAGCAACAGCAGCAGCAGCTGCTTGTTAATGCGGTTTTTGGGGGAAATCCCTTACTCTCCCACGACTTCCGCCCACTTTGAGCTTACAAGAATGTGTTTGCTTTATTAGTTGCTCCTGCGGGCCCCTTTACAAATGTCTTACTGTAATTAACGCCCACGGTTAGGCAAACAAAACCCATCTAAACACACGAAGACTAGAAGGCGCTGCATTAACAAAACTCAGCCGAGTGTTACCTGCTTTGCGGTTCAGCGGAAATCAAGGAAAATTGTTTGCAAGTGTCAAAAGGGAATTACAATTAATTGTGTGCGATTAAAGCCCACATAGCCGAAAAGAGTTATATGGTTCCAGTATTAATCGTATAAAATATAACACTAACATTGATATTGCTCTTGTTTCAGATAGGTTATATTTAACGATATTTAACCATCTTTACAGAACCACTTCGATTTCTTTAACTCATTAATAAGTAAAAACAAAACGATTAGCTAAAAGAACAACTGTTTTAAGCAACTAACGACCAATATTGACCATTTGTATAACTTTCCGCTTGCTTTTGGTAATTCCATTATTTTCGCCATTTTTGCATTTTCGTCAAATTTGACGAAAAATTGACAAATATTGACTTTTCAAAACGATCAGTTCTAAGAACCCTATAAATTTAGGTCTGATGCGACAAATTCTATTTTTTGCCAATTTTCGCATTTTTGATAAGGGGTACCATCATCAAATTTTGCAAAAAATGGCCCAATATTGACTTTTCAAGGCTGGAATGCAGTTTTACTATAAATTAAATTACGAGCTGAACAAGATATAACATTCCACTTTCCGACTATTTTTGGTATAGTTATAAACAAAATTCTGACTTTTTTGACGATAAATAGTAATTATAAACTCTTTAAAATTTATCTATAAAGTGCATCTAATCAATCTTGAGAGTAACAAGAATTGGAATTTCTGAATAAATCGTCCTCCAATTAGTGCTCCGAATATGTGCTCATTATAATCTCATTTGGTATGCAGGCGAACAAAGCCGTCAGTCTGGAATTGAAAGAATCAGTTGACGTGGAAAGCGGAGACCTTGACTGCAACCAGGAGGCCAACAGGTGAAGCAGGTGAGCTGAAAGGTCTGGTTAATATGGCGCCAGACAGCCAAGCTGTGGCCAGTCCTGGCATTCGAGCACCTGGCTGCCCTAATATTCAATTAATCACATTATGCAGGCTGTCGACTCGGATTAGCAGACCTTGCCAGGTTCGCCAGGTAGCCAGGTTGCCTGGTTCCTGCCTCTCCCAAGTAACACAGTAATCAGCCGAAACCGAATCCAAATCCGAATCCAAATGTAAAACCGAGCAAAGTCCCGGCTTGTTATACAAATAACTGGTGGCCAGTCAATTACGGCGACTGGCCAAGGAAATCCAACTAAATATTTTATTATGAGCCAACGTTTGTCTTGATTATGCGCCAAGTCGCTAGAGGGGAGCGTAACTAATTGAAAACTTGCAAAAGTTTTTCTCATTAATAATAAGCCAGACCGTGAGCTCCGGCGACTATTTGCTTACGAAGGGGAACAGTTGGTCGTCCTTCGTCTTGCTCTTCAGTCAGTTTGATTTGTTGTAAATGATTTAATTACTTATTGCAAGGCGCTGCGAAAGCTATTATTAAGTTGGATGCCCGCCAGGCCGCACTAAACACGCGTATTAGATTAATGTTGTGATTACATAGCCATCCCCATCGGGAGATACTTCACCGAATAGTAAGTATATACAGTTGTTTTTAGGCCAATAGAAAACCAAGCTAATAAATACAGAATAGATTAAATATTGTATTCAATCACATATTTGTTCAAAATATTTAAAATAAAATAATAATCCGAAGCACGATAACGAAGTGATACTTCAAACTCCTCTGATAACAGTAATCACTGAAAGAAGAAAATAACTTGAATAAGTTTTATGTATTATATACCTATCTATTATATCTATAAATAAAATCATATAATATAAGATTTAAAAAATGCTCAGAAGCCATTTTGGTAATCATCACTGCCGCCTATTATTTTTACCTCAGCTGTATTTTTCCTCACTCCGTCCCTTGCTGTATTTTGAAGCGTTAACGAGTCGCAATCGCTTATTGCATACTTTTCAGCTTCCGTCGAGGGTCTTTCCCCTCCTCACACTACCTTATTCCACAGGATTCACGTTGGCAAGGACGCAGCTCCTGCTATTGAATTATGCATATTTCGTTGCAGGCAGTGGAGCTTGAAGTGAAATGGTGGCTGGAGGCAGGCTGCCCAGACAGCAATCTATTCGTTTGTCAGGCGTTGGTTGGTGAGGGGAAACGTTAAGAGGGTGTAGGGTGGCAAATAGAATTATTACCTCGGCAAAGTGTTGATAAATTGTATTTGCAACAAGTCAATGATTAAGTAATTTAATACGGCAACAAATACATGACCAAGTGACCAACATACTATATTCTCATTCGAGTTTCTTATCACACTTTATTTTATTGTAATTTATAGTTACTTTCTATTTAAAAAATAATTTTTTATCAAATAAATTTAATTCTAATAAAAAATATACATACATATGATAAAATTAAAAATGAATATTAAGTATTCGGTAAAATCAAAAATTTTTAACTAGTATTCAGTTCATGAAAAATTTAATTATACTCGTCTTCAAAAAATTAAAACAACTTGGTTAAAATATATTTTAAAAAAAAATAAATATACAAAAAATCCTTCGAGCCGGATTTGAACCAGCGACCTATGGATTTCTATTGCACGTCTTCCAACTACAGTCCACCGCTCTACCAACTGAGCTATCGAAGGTCGGTGAGGGGCAACGGATTAGAGATCTTGTTTTTACATTGGCTATATGTTTACTCTATATATACTCGCAATATTTTCGTGGTTCGCTAAAAGCATTCATAAAAGTTTCAAGTATTTCGAATGGGGGCCAGTCGATTTTATGACCTTGTAGCTATTATAATATATATAACCTAAAAATATATATAACCTAAAAAGAAAATGGTTGCTAAGGTAAAATATCATATTTATGATGTATTTTTACTTTTCGTATTTAAATCTTAATAATTTGTATTTTGAATACAATACTTATTTTTTCAAAACTTTTCGTCTTTCGTTTTTAATAAGAGTGATTTTGGTAATATTAGTGTTTCTTTTTGTACTAATAATAAAATGAAATTGTATATTTAAAAAAATAAAAACAAAACAGTGAAAACAAAAAAACACTTCAAAAAATCCTTCGAGCCGGATTTGAACCAGCGACCTATGGATTTCTATTGCTTGTTTTCCAACTACAGTCCACCGCTCTACCAACTGAGCTATCGAAGGTTGAAAACTCGGGTGACCAAAGTGCGTTTTGTGTGTAAGTGCGAGCGAGACGACGACTATCTTGAAGAAACTACTGTGATCGCAATGACGTCACTTTTTGATAAGAAACAAGTTTATAAATAACAAATCCAACGTGTAATTTGGTATATATCCATATAAAAAGTTCTTCAAATAATTCAACCAATGCAATTCCTAATTAAAAAAGTAAAGTTATAATAATAATCGTCATCTTTTGGTAAAAGTAACAAATGTTTTCCATTTACTTTCAACTAAATTTCTCAATAAAGAAGTTAATAGCTTTTCAATCGCGTAATGAAATGTGATGAACTGGCAGAATGGTTTTGACCCCCTTCGCAATCACCTCGGCAAATTCTTCGAGGGCAGGAACTTTGACCAGCTCTCAGCTGCAATAGATAGCCACTGCCATCCTCTCCCAACGGACAGCCTTTCAAGGAATTCAATCAATTATGTTCCGTATACGCAACGTGTGCTCAAAGTTGTGGGTGAGCACGAACAAGTGCAAACTGAAATCCATTATAGCCATTTGCAAGCTGGCAATTTGTGCAAAGGGGTTGGAGGAGGTCGTCGTTAACGAGGTCAACAGCAAAAGATGAAACAAACTCAATTTCCTACGCAGGAAAAATGCAACAAAAATGGCATTTTTAATTGAAAAATTACAGCAACCCACAACCCATCCTGTTATCTCCGCTCTACTCGGCACAGCGGATAATCCTTTAGCTTCAGTGAGATATTACCCTTGACCAGCAGTTCCTCCAGGCGGGCTTCGGTGCTAATTCGATAGCTGCGAAAGATCCTGGCCAGCAGCAGTTTCATCAGCATCTGGGCATAGCGATAGCCGATGCACATGCGCAATCCCTTGGTGAATGGAACAAAGGCAAAGGCGTGCCTTGGTGGAGCGTCCAATCCAAAATGCGCTTCCGGATTATAGGTACGCGAAAGTGCACCCCATACTCGTTCATCCCGCTGCATATTGTAGATATCGATGCCGATCTGAGTGCCACGAGGGATAAGGAACTCTTCCTCATCCCGCTTCAGGTGGATATCCTGTTCCGCCGATCGCAATACCATGGGCACAGGAGCAAACAAGCGCATCGCCTCGTTAATGACCATTTCGGTGTACTCCAGCCGTTGTAGTTGTTCCAACGATATATCACCTGTAGGTGGAAGCTCCCTTACCAGTTCCACGTAAAGCTTCTCCTGGTAGCAAGGATGCATGGCCAGGCATAGAATGGTGAAGTATAAAGCCGTCGATGTGGTTTCAAAAGTCTAAAAAACGGGAACATAATCATAAACCTCTTTTCATTAGATTCTTACTTACCGCCGCAATGGTGACATTGGCCTCATCCCTCACATCCTGCCAACTCAGCTGACCGCGTTCCACATGCTCCCGCACCTGTTCGATAAAAATGGCCTTGGACTTGCCTCTCATCTCCTGTTCCGGTCGCTGCTGTTCCGGATTGGCATTGGCAGCCACAACCGAGACAATCGGTTCGAGTAACTGCCAAAAAAATGTGCCCATGTATGGGGTCATGGTTCGAACTCTGATCGGATGAGCAGCTTACCTGTTCTATAAACCCAAAGAGTATGCCAACAACCTTTTGCTGCAGGCGAAAAAGTCGTGAACGTCGGTATAAAAGCTCCGGATAAAGCCAGGGCGACAACATGCGTTTCACACACACTTCGGTTAAGCTGAAAAAATATGAACATATTGTTATTATTATTTTTATTATATGAAAAGAAAATTCAGTAATCTTCCTTGTACAGACCCATTATAAGCTTCAAATATTGCCATAGATCCGTCGTGTTGGAAGTTCATTTTCCTACCCATCGTTGTCTCTGTAAATCATTAAGTTTAAGTATAAAATATAAATAATGAATATATAAATACCCACGGCAAGCTGCTTCCAAGACGATTTTCTTCAGGATTTGATAGATTTCTAGCCGCTTGCCATGCTGTACACCTTCAATATCCAGCTTCTCCAGCAGGACCTGTGCCTCCGCATTAAAAATGGGCAGAAAGTTGCTGAGTATCTGGCGACTAAAGGCGGGGTTAATGAGGCGACGATGTTTGTGCCAACGAGGAGAACTGGATGTAAATAGTCCATCACCTATAGCCGAACTTATGAATCGATAGAAATCCCCCTTATTGGTGCAATGTGTCGAGTTAAAAATCTGCTCCACACTGTGTGGATCGTTGATGTAGAGGAAACAATTAGTGCCCATCCAGGAAATAAAGGGAGCCTTAAATTGTCGTGACAGGCCATCCATGTACTGCAAAAAGGCTGGCAAAAATAACAGTTATTTAGTGAATTTAGGGAATCCTCTGCGTCTCTTACTCTCCGGGTTCATCATCTGTAAGCCCATGCCTATCAGCGGCCAGCCAATGGGTCCACGTAACTGCCATGCGGCTTTATAATACCTTCGCCGGCTCCACAGGAAGTATATCCAAACCATCAGCAGCCATCCGATTAAAATGATGCAGGCCAGCATGTCGTTGAACCTCAGAGTCGACGAGTATCCGTAGTCGAAAATTTAATTGCTCCACGCACGGCGTTCAAAGGTAGTCTGAGCCAACTATATACTTTCAGCTCAGAGCTTCATTCAGTTTTCTATATGTATAATACAAACCGTCAATGGATATCCAAAATATAAAAATAATGAAGAGCCACACTAATTGTTTGATTTTTTATTGGAATTTTACGAAATGATTTCGTATCAGGCAAAGCTCTTAAAAACAACCTTTTCGCTAGGCTTTCCAACCACAACTCATCTGCTTTTCCTGCTTTTCGACTGTTATTCTTCTATAAGTCGGTCAAAATAGGGGATTGCAGCTACATATGCATATTAACGTAGCTGGGGATTACGCATTAGCGGCTCTAATGCGGTACTTTTCATGCCCACCACATTGTTGGGCGATTCTCGATTGGGTGGCGATTTTGATTCCAGTCGCGTGCCTCTCAAAATTATGCCAGTCAATAACAATATGCAGCAGGCCAAAGACATGACAGAAAATAGAAGATTTTAAAGTGATTTTAGATACCCTGAAAAACTCTAAAAGGTGGTAAATATAAGAATTTACTAATCAGTCTTTAATGATAAATATAAAACTAAAGAAATCATAAGAAAGTATATTTTTTGTGACCAATAAATCGTAATACTTAAATGCTCATCTTATAAAATAAAAATTCATTTTATAAATAAATCCAAATAACCCATATTAGAAGAGCAGCAACTTTACCTTAACAATTTGACTCTTCTTGGATTATCCTTATATGTGAACTGAAGTAATTGATGGCAAATTCTGCCCTCGGACACGACAGTTGGGTGGGAGTGTCCGGCCATGAATCCCAATGCCCAATCAGAACAGCATTTACACAGCTATTACGCATTAATTGAGTTTTTGAATTATAATTTTTATTTGCTATTAATATTTTTACAAATTGTTTTATTTGTGGTGTTTTGCTTTCTCAATTTTGTTCAACAGTTCTTCTATGTTATTTATCTGTGTGTATTTGCCATGACTTTGAATAGTTCCCATTCGGTACTTGATTATCCTTTATTAAGTTGGTATTATTTCTTACCGAGTTGGAGACACAAGCCGGGTTTATTTATATAGACTGTTGTTAGTTTAGTAAAACTTAGTGCGCTAAGTGTTGAGTGAGCGAGTCTCCTCCTGATTCTGGAATGGGCTTTTACTTAGGATCTGGACCCGAATACTGGGTTCCGCACAAATATTCCGAAAATTTAGCACTCTCTTATGTGTAAGCTAGGTTTAAAAGTTTGCAAATATTAATATTGTTGTGGACGTTGCGTTTCCAGTTTTGTCATTGATTAGATTTAGTTAAGAGCTTTAGGTTATGGCATAAATTTGCGATTTAATTTTATTCAAAGGCCTTGGATCAATGGAAGCCAATCCTTGGGGATTTTCTTTTTTTGGTGTTAAATTTCATTTGGAATTTGAGTTTGGGGATTGATAGACATAAGTATTATACTTGACTTGCTGTTAGTTCATTGATTAGTATATAAATATTTGCCAGTCAAATGTATCCTTAGTATATCTACCATATATACACAATCCATATGCCCTTTGCCCATAAGCCCTCTCAAGGGACGTTCAGTTTTTCTTACTTTACAAATAAATTATACTCCATTTATTGTCAAACATATTGACGACTCGCGATTGCATTATTCCTGGCATTACACATGAGTTGTATAATATGATTATTTTAATTATTATTTCTACCTCTAGTTATATCAAAAGTGATCTGCCCAAGTACTTAGGTAATTGTTTTCAACTATATGCCCTGCTTGATTAGGGTAATTAAATTCAACATTGCGGTCAGTTAGTATGCCACCATTGTCATATTTTCTCAGCAACTATAGAAACTATTTGATCAATGATGTAGGCCCTTCACTAATATGGTTTTCTGAATGGAATGTGAATTAACTGTTGTCTTAGATTATTCCAATGCAATATGCTCTCCCTTTCAATAGTTATTAATACTCTCCCAGAGGGCGAACAAGGGTCTCGGCTGGCCGAATATTACTTGACAAGTCTATTTGCAAATTCTGTGATGTTTTGTGGGCTTAATAAAAATATATATGTGTATGTCATATTTGTATATATATTTCCGCTCTAAATGCTGCATGCTGTAGGATTTTATTTAGCAAATAAAACTTTGAAAAAATAAAAGAAAACGGCTGCGGGCTCTTGCTGATTGCTTACTCTATATATGCAACCCGTGCAAATATATTATGCATGTATATATATGTATACAAAATAAACTTTGCTTTCACATTGACGCTTGCATAAAAATGTTAATCAAAAAACATTGGTTTTAGTTTTTACTTGTTTTTCTTTTTGTTTTTTTTCTCTGTGTTGTTTTTCTGAGACGGGGACTTAGACGGTGCAATTGTGTGGATGTGAATTTTTTGAGGGGGGAGGGCAGGATGGCATAGTGTATGCAGTACGGCTATATAAGCTTGGGTTTAAAAGCTAGGCTAAGGATTATAAATGGCTTATGAGTTTTGATTAAATTTAAATTGTAGTTCTCTTGGTGAGTGTTTATCATTTCGGTTTATACTTAGGCACAATACATTTATTTTGTTTTATTTTCAGTTTTCACATGACTTGTTTTTGTTTTTTTTTTCTTTTTTGTAGCTTTAACTTTTTGCTAAATATTTTTGCTTCGCTTAATACTAATTACTACGCATAAAAACGTGTGTGTATATGTGTGTAGTATGTGGATGTGTTGGTGTATTTGTGTGGCTAATTATTTCATATTTTATGGGATTAATTTTGCATTTCTCTGCAATAATTTTTACTACAATTTAAACATCTCAGCCGCTTGGCAATTATTTAAAGCTTTTCACAATCATTTTCATATATGCAAATTAAAAAATATAATAGGATTACAAAATCTGTTCAATAAATAATTTATAATTCAATAGTCTTTTTTGAACTATTGTTTTTTTTTTACGCATTTTAACGCGTCTTGGTGTTTCTGTTAGTTTGTATGGGTAGTTAAGCTTCGTTTCAACGAAGTTTTTTTTTACAAATATTGCTTATGTTTTGCATGTAGTTGCTTATTAACGCAAAATGCATTACGAATTGGTCTTGTATCATCAATAATGATAGATAAATCAACCGGATTATAAAATGCTCGCTTGACTAAAGGTAAAAACGCATTAAGCTGGGCGTCCTAAACTGGTCAAATTATTGGCCGAAATACTCGACTATAACCCGCTGTATGCCTGTTTTTAACACAAAATTTATTTTAAACACAAAAATTAAACGCACAAAACTGCGAATACAAAAATTCTTGAATTACAATAGGCTGTTTTTAGGGACTTTTAAACTATACACACATTTTGCTTACTATCAGCTTACACACTTTTCGCTTTGTTTTGTTTTTCTGTTTAACAAAATATGCGCTAGGTTTTCTACGAATGCTACAAAGTAGACAACAATTTAAATTTTCTCGGCTCCGCTTCTGCTTAGTTATCTTGTTGCTGTGTTGTTGTTGATTCTTAGTTAATTTATGACTTGCTTCTTTGCAGAGGGTGATTAACTCTCGGCCTGCTGGTTGGCCGTAAACTGCGTTATTCCATCCTTCTCCATCGACTCCAGGATATCGGCCACGTACACGGCTACATCGGTGTGGCTCGTCTCACCGCGACGAATGAAGGGCATCTCCAACAGTCGGCTATATTTGGGCCGATCACTCTCCTTTTTAATTAGGCTAAATATGTTTAGAAATCATTAGATTTAGTTTTAAAGTGTCTTAGTTTCTATCAGTGCATACCAAGTATTGACAAAGTCCACAAACTCTTTGGAGAACTCCATTCCGTTGTAGGATGTCAATAGGCGCGGCGGTTCTCCTTGCACAACCTAAACAGAATGTAAATGTTATTAATAATAAAAACCGTTTAGTGCTTTTAATTCCATATCGCGATCAAAGATATTCCACTATGCTAAAGTTATAAAACTCGATTAGTTAAACGCTAAATATAATGACGTTACGTTACGTTATCTCTCTAAGATTTAGCTAACAAAGGGCACAAGATAGAACATTATGGTCGTATCTCGTCGAAATGATTCATATATTTTAATCTGAAAGCTTCCTAACAAATATTTCATAGACATTGTAGACTTACCTGACACAACTGCTCGAAGACCGAGTCCCATTTGCGGTACGGAAAATTGCCGGTAGCTACCTCCATCAAAGTAATACCCAAAGACCAAACATCACTCCGTACATCGTAGCCCTTGGCACGCTCCGGATCAATGCGTTCCGGCTGCACATAAAGATAAAATTATAGTAAACAACTTTAGAATTTATATGATTTTCATTACCGCCATGTAGGGCCTGCAGCCCGCATCCTTGGTCTTTGCAATTGAGTCAACCAGCTGACCCGAAATGCCAAAATCACACAGCTTTATATCACCCCGACGGTGCAACAAAATATTGCTTGGCTTCACATCTCGGTGAATGATTTTAAGCTCCTCCTTTAAATAGTTAAGGGCATTCACCGTGGCAACCGTGATTTTGGCCAGTATGGACTCAGGAATGTGTCGCTGCTGCTTCTCGTAAATGTACTTGTAAAACTTGTCCAACGAGGTGTCCATCAGTTCCATGCAAATCCAGCAGTCACCCTCTTTAAACAGCGCGCCATAAAACTGAACGATATAAATGCATTCGTTGGACTTCATGACCACCTCGAGATCCATAAGAAGCTGCTTCTGTTCCTTCTCGTCGACGGTGGACCGAATGCGTTTAACGGCCATTACCTTGTCCAGTTTTTTAAAGATCATCTTGTTTACAGCTCCGAAGGCTCCACGCCCGATTTCGCCCTCATCCTCGAGATCGTCCGAAGTGAAAGTGTGTGTATTGGCGGCGCCCTCGCCGAATTGTAGTTTTCCGCAGGCCTGCTGGCGGATACGTTCCCGGTGACGATCAGCGGCACTGCTGCTCGAAGTAGCTGGTACTACGGGCACATGACTGGTGACCGGTGGAGCCTGTTGTGGTTGCTGGGCACCAAAACAGCGGGTTACATGGTTATGCTGCGATGAGGAACTTGAGCCCGAGGATGTGGATCCCGACGAAGTGGACGACGTTGACGAGGGCGGATGGCGAATGCTGAGGTTGTTCAGGCTGAGCTGATCCGGGGGATTGCGGGAGCGACTTGATCCGGCTAAAAAAGTAAAATGAGAGAATGTAGGAGTTTTTATAGATCATTTAACCTTATCACCGCTCCACCCGATTCACCAACTATGCGTCACCCATGGAGTGTGTGTACCTCCTTATCTGCATGTGTGTGAAACGCGTGGGCTGTACGAAACCACAGGGGTAACTCACTTGCAAACAAATTTTTCGGTCGTTCGGCCATTGTGTGTGGTGGCTGAAAGTATCGATGTCCCTTTGTGTGGCTGTCTTAAGGATGTTTTGTCCGTTTTCTTCAGGCGCCGCGCCCCGAATACAACACGTCGATTTGAGGCTCCTTTGGCCTTCCGGTCTCTTGGTTACTGGGCCGCTTTTGATGGGCTCTTCGCCGGATGCAACGCAACTACTTTTTCAGCAATCGAGCGCACTGATATGCACTTTTTCCGCAATTTCGCTAAACATTTACATAAATAGCAACTAAAAACAGTGTTACCAGACGGTGAAACTGCATTTGACCACCAAATGGTTTTGACCATCCCTGGTTTTTCACACAAAAATTTCCTTTCTACTAAATTTTTGAATCGTCAAAATTTTCCAATACCTACCTAGATTTCTATTATCACATTATATTTTCCAGCCTAATTCCGAAAAAATCCTTTATTAAGGGAAATAACCCCTTATATTAAAAGTCTAGAGATGGGACATTGATTGTTTACAATATTTAACACCGATAGGCATCCCGGCAGGGAGAGAAAATTGTAAGGTGAAAATAATTGCGTTAGGTAATGCGATTTGAAAACATTGCTTTTATTATCGTTTTTTTGCTCCGCCTATCAGAAAGGAGCTGTACCGAGCCTAAATTGTAAGCGACTCTTCCAAGTAATTAGCGCCCCAACCCGCGCCACCTTTCTATTAGAGAACCGTTCCATAGACGCTCTTACAACCCATAATCATGTCAAGCGGATTCGTGCGCAGCAGCTACAAATTGTTTGTCGGCAACCTACCATGGACGATCAGCAGCAAGGAGCTGCGAATTTACTTCTCAAAATTCGGGCACGTAGCCAACGCGGAAGTGGTTTTCGACCGCCAACTGGGCCTCTCAAAACATTATGGATTCGTGGTGTTCAGCCAACGGGATGCCTTTGACAGCGCCAGTAATCAGAACACCCATTTTCTGGAGGGCAGAGTACTCACTGTGCAGAGAGCCAATGAAAGTCCACAATGAAAATGTCTAATAATTGGATTGATTTACTGGTTATACCGAAAGGAGAGAGGATGATAGTTAAAGAGTTTAGTTATTAACAAATGAATGCAGCATTTCCTTCGAGTCTGGTATTGTCGTTTCATTTCTTGGGCAGGTAGAACTTGTTTTTGGTGCCCACCACGTCCGCCACATTGTTATGCCCCAGTTCGGTGATCAGCTTAGACAGCTCCTCCTTGATATCTTCCACAAGACCGGGTCCGTCATACACCAATGCGGTGTAGAGCTGAACGTATGAGGCCCCAGCCTCGATCTTCTCGTAAGCATCATAACCAGAGGCCACGCCACCCACACCAATGATGGGCACCTTGCCATCGGTAAGGTGATACATCTGAGCGATCATCTCTGTTGAACGTGCCTTGAGTGGTGGGCCACTTAATCCGCCTGCTTCCTCTGTCATCTTGATTGCTACGATGTTGTCCCGAGACACAGTAGTATTGGACACAATTAGACCATCCACGCTGCTCTTTTTGCGCTTGATTACCCAAACAACGTCTTTCATGTCGTCCTCTGATAGATCTGGCGATAGTTTTAGAAAAACGGGCACGTTCTTGTTCTTTTCCAGGTTGGATCTAGTGTCGTTAACCTGCTCCAAGAGCTCTCTTAGTTTATCTTTGCTTTGCATATCCCTTAGGCCTTTGGTATTTGGGCTGCTCACATTGATGACTAGGTAATCCGCAACGGGACCGAAAACACGCACACCCTGTACGTAATCTGCTATTGGACTCATGGTGCTTTTGTTCCGTCCAAGATTCACGCCCACCACGCCATTGAAGTCCTCCTTGCTTCGAAGCCGCTGTAGCCTTTGGAGCACCGCCTGGTGGCCTTCGCTGTTAAACCCGTACCGATTGATGATAGCCTTATCTTCATTCAGCCGGAAGACTCTTGGCCTGGGATTGCCCTCTTGGGCTGCCGGGGTGACTGTGCCCACCTCAATAAAGCCGAAGCCAAGATCCTGCAAGCCATCCACCGCCTCTGCATTTTTATCGAATCCAGCAGCAATACCAATCGGATTACTAAGCATCCGGCCAAAGAAGGGGGTGTGCAGATTAGGGTCATCCTGGTACTGAGAAACAGGACACAAACGGTACTTGCAGGCCAATACGGCCAGCTGATGACTGGTTTCCGCCGGAAGGAGACGTACTGTCGGCATAATAAACGTGCGGAACAACTGATCTTGTTTCTTGTAAGCCGTAATGCCCGCTACTAAAGTGGCTGCTCCAACTGTAACGATTCCAAGTGACCGCAAGCGACTCTGTGGGAGTATTCATTCTTAATCCACTTCAGTTTAAGCCGCAGTTTACTCACAATTTTTCGAGTTGCGGTTTTCATAATTTTTTCCTGATCCATAGTTGTCTATCGATTGCGACCGATAAAGCGGGTTTCGCGGGTGCTAAAATATAGAAGTAAAAAATATATGTGAATTCTACTAGATTTTAAAATAAATTCAATTTGGGAGAAAGTCTTTCATTTTGAAAGGAAATTCTATGAAACCAAATAATAATACATAAATAATATTCCAACGTATAAAACTGATATTCCCGAAAAACTATTTTTTTTCTGTGTAGCCTGCGAACCCCTTTATTTTTCCGCCCATGCCCCACAATCGATAGTCATCATTGGTCCTCCAGTGCCATCTCCAAAAATTGAGTCAGTTTGTTATGGCCAGCTGAAATTTGGAAAAATTTGTTTTTAAGCCGTTGATTTGGAATTCCGGGGCCACTATGAAGGGCGGAACCTTTCGTAACACCCAGTGGGATCCCACGCTGCTATGGTCACAGATTGTATCTATGCAGTTCTGCGTGTACTTCACTCTTGGACTGCTCGTCTTCGTGGCCAACAAGTTGTCCGGGGATAACTACAGTCTGGATCATTTGTTCGAGTATCATGTATGCTATTTGGGATATGGATCCCAGAAATCCTACTCTTAACAACATAATATAACCTTACTAATTCGCATTTTCAGGAGATTCACATTTACGATTTGGGCGGTAGACTGGTGATCTGCGCCTTCGTCTTGAATGCTTTCCTGGCTTCCGTGGCACTGTGGTGCATTGTAAGACGAGCAAAGCTATGTCTGGACTTCAGGTCGGCATCTTTCTTTTATACTTATATATAAACGGATATGAGTGGATGCACTCCGATTCACCTTTCGATTAAATGCATTAATGATAATCTCTCTTTCTCCTTAGTTGCACTTTCCATGTGCTGCATTTGCTTTTCTGCTGGTGGTACAACCGCTCCTTTCCCGCGAATGCATCCTGGTGGCTGCTCAACGTCATCACCGGAACAATAATGTGCATAGGCGGAGAATTCCTCTGCCTGCAAACCGAGATGAAGGAGATCCCAGTGGGCTATGCGGCCCTCAATCAAAAGTCGGACGTTTGAATCTGATTCACTAACTTGTGATGCCTACAAACTCAACCAAGCCACCCAACCAGCTTCTGTGTAAATGTAATTTATTGTTAAATTAGCGTAAGATTACATAGCATATAAACCTTATATTGTACTCCTATTAATGTAATATTTGGTAGACGAATGGAGGTCTTTGTCTGAGCTTTAGTTCTTCAGGTACCACAGAGGGGGGCAGAGAGTACTTAATTCCGAAACCGGTATAGTTCTTGGATATTATAGACCAAAACGGCTCCTCGCGGGGTACGAACATCCAGTAACTGAAGGCCAGCATGAAAGTGGCGATCAACGATCCCAGAAGAAGCAACATCCAGCACAGACCTTGTTGTGGCTTCTGCATATTCACTGTGTTTATGAGTTGGCCTAAAATTTACACAGCTGAGAACCGCAAAACCAACCGAATGCACCAAAAATTATGGACTGTTCTCCGATATGTTAAACAAAACGGGGTGTGGCCTAGTCAAGAGCCTACTCGTTTAAAATGCCAACCAACAACCACGTCGCGCAGAGCTTTACTCTCCAAGCAAATTTATCTGACAAACAACGAAATCGACAAGCTCCCATGGACTCTAGAAAACATCAGAGCAAACTAATCAACTTTGACTAATCTAATCTAATTAGTGAGAAGGGTAGGCACCGGCACGATCGTCACATCCTCCTCGCTTCTTGCTGCACTTCTATTTAAATTTGCTCCCCTCGTTTTGCACTTCCAATTACGTTGATTGCTAAAATGTGCATAGTTTAAGCTTTGCTAGAGGAATCGGTGCCAAAGCTCTCGTTTAACAAGCTCCCCCTGAGGTCACTAACCTCATCTATGGATAATTTATTTTTAATTTATGCAAACTGTAGCTTTAGATCGGTTTAAGCTTATTAGAATGCCTAAAAGAAGTTTTCTAAGTGTATTGTATCCCAATACACACTGAACTAAAGACCCAAAGTAAGGAATTGGTAACTCGCCAATTCGTATCAGTGGTGTTTCTTTGAAAACTGATAGCAATAAGAAAATAAATCTTAATCAAACACACTTATAGACAGAAATCGAACGAATAAGTCCCACTGATATTTGAAAAGATAATAGAGCGTTAACAAGTCGTAAACATTTTTCCGATACGAAAGCAATACGTTATCTGACAAATAAAAACTTCAAACATTTTATATAGATCTGTGAGCGGTGCTACACATAAAATTATCCGAGCCCAAAAGCTAAATTAAAAACTAGACAAGTTCTTTTTTCATTTGCTAAATTATTAATTTTAAGTTTAGCAAACTTTGTTTTTAATTACTTGTTTGTGTTGGTTTCTTGTTTCGTATAGTACATTATATCTCGATTTATATATTTTTTAATATATATATATACCATTACTATTTTTATGTTTTCTTCGTTTAAAATCATCAATTGAAGTTCAAGGATTTGCGCATTCATCGTCTTGATCCGATATCGACAGTATTTATGTCTATATATATATATATAAATGTATATATATATTTGTATTTTAAGAATTCCAAGAAAAATGATGTGTGAGAAGTGTAACTTATGGACAATAATTCAAAATTGTATCAGTTGCTTAAATATTCTTAATATTTGTGGTTGTTTAGCATATTTGTAATATGTATGTTTGCATATCCTTCAACTACGCGCATCGATTCCATAAAATAAAATGATGGATGGGGAGGATGGGAAGATCAGGGCTTAGAGTTTTTTGGGCTGGCTATACATGAATGTAATATACTTTCGCGATGGATTTGCACAATTTATTTTTAATGTTTGCTCCTGCTTTTTGAGGTTGTGAGAGAGGAGTGAATTACTAAACGAGGGTGGAGGGTGCATCTGTGTATCTTTTCTGTATTTTCGTGTTTTGTGTTGCGCTGCGCACAGACAGTTTCTCTTTCACATTTGCTGTTCCTATATAATATACGTGTGTGCACATATATATGTATAGTTGTTATCGACTTTGTATTTTTTCTCCTTTTGGTTAGTTGCGAAAGTTGCTACGATGCGACTGTTGATGCTGCTGCTGCTGGCCCAGGACTTTTGCCTGAAGCTGAGGCCTTGCTCATTGAGCCCACCAGTCGGGTTCATTGTTCGAGTGTGCGGCACTGCCACCGTAGGAGCCACCATAGGAGCCACCACCGGCGCCGCCGCCATAGTATCCTCCGCCACCCGAGTTTCCACCTAAAAAAGAAAAGCACAAACTTTAGTATCTTTTTCAGAACAAATAACTTATGATGGATAAATCCACACTCACCGAACTTACCGTACGAGTTTCCGTTGCTGCGATAATTGCCACCGCCACCTCCTGATCCGGAGCCACCGCTACGTGGTGGGGGTCCGCTGCGTCCGCCACCGCCTCCGCCTGAACTTTGACGGTAATCCCTGGAGCCGAAGCCGCCACCATAACGTCCACCACCTCGTCCTGTCCTCTTGGCTCCGCCATGGCCGCGATCCGAGCTCATGTCTTCCATGAAGCTGGGAATCTCTTGCTTCGTTTCGATCAACAGCTCCAGAAGATCGGAGCAGATGTTACGGTTCTTCTCGTTGAAGAAGGAGGTGGCCACACCGAGATTACCCATGCGACCGGTACGACCGATGCGATGGACATACTCCTCCACATCAGAGGGCAGGTCAAAGTTGATAACGTGCTTCACGTGCGGAATGTCCAAGCCACGAGCGGCCACAGCTGTGGCCACCAGGATGGGGCAGTCGCCCGAGCGGAAGCAGCGTAGCGCCTCCTCGCGCTCCTTCTGCGTGCGATCACCGTGGATGCTAGTCACGGGATGGTTGCACTGGTACAGGAACTCCTCCAGCGAGTCTGCACCCTTCTTCGTCTCTACAAAGATCAGCGTCAGGCTGTCTTTGGTGTACTCGGGGCCATCGCGGATGGACGACAGCAGATCCAGAAGATACGAACGCTTATCGGGTTCGTAGACCCAAAGGATCGTCTGCGTAATATTCTCGGAGGTGGAGCCCACACGACCCACGGCCAAGAAGATGTAGTTGCTGAGGAAATCGCTAGCCAGCTCCTGAATCTGCTTGGGGAATGTGGCCGAGAACATGAGCGTTTGGCGCTGCCCTGTTGGCGGCATGTTAAGCTGCTCGACAATGCGACGGATCTGGGGCTCGAAACCCATGTCCAACATACGATCCGCCTCGTCCAAGACCAAGAAACGAATATTTTCCAGGCCCACTTTGCCGCGCGTGATCATGTCCTCCAAACGACCGGGTGTTGCCACAATCAGGTGGCAGCCGCGGTCCAATTCGCGCATTTGCTCGCTGGTATTGTTGCCGCCGTATAACACAGCCGGACGCATCCGGGAACGGTAGGCGAACTTTTTGGCCTCCTCGAAGATCTGGGTGGCCAACTCGCGGGTCGGTGCCAGCACCAAACCCAGCGGATACTGCTTGCGACGGCTATACTGCCGGTTGCTCTGTGGGGGTGCCACATGTCCGTGCTCATACATCTGGTTGAGAATCGGCACCAAAAAGGCGGCCGTCTTACCGGAGCCGGTCTGGGCGCAGGCCATTAGATCGCGGCCATTGATGATGATCGGAATGGCGTGCTTCTGCACCGGTGTCGGTTTGTCATAACGGGCTAGGGCCACGTTGTTGCGGATAATCTCCGTCAGCTGCACATCATCGAACGATGTGATGTTCGGGGGCACATTCTGGCCCGTCGCCTCCACGGGTATATCCTCGTATTTGTCAAAATTGATTCCCGTATTGCCCACGCCGAACAGTTCCACCTCCAGGCGTTCGTCTCTGGCGCCCAACTTTGTGTAGTCGATGTTTCCGCCGCCGCCCTCCTTCCAGCGGCTATTGTAACCGCCGCCTCCGCGCTCCCCGCGGTTGTTGTAGCTTCTGTTGCCGCCTCCAGGAGGTCCACCCTCGCCGCCATCAAATCCGGCTTGACGTTCCGGCTCCTGCCAGCGATCGTTGCGTGGCTGCTGCTGTGCCTGGCCATCTTCGCCAGTTTGCTCGTTAAGGGTGTTACCGCTTCCACCACCACCGCCGCGGTACGACGGTCCACGTCCGAAGCCGCGGTTTCCTCCGCCTCCGCCGGTACGATTCCAGTCACCTCCGCGACGTGAGTCAAATTCGCCACCTAAAAGAGAATTTCAAGTTTAGTTGAATAATCTAGCGTAATTATTGCATTTATAAGGGGCTTTTAGACAAATTAAAATTTTGACTTGAAGAAATCATGGTGGGGGATGAGGATTTTAAAGAAAAATGAAGGAAAGAAGTGTGCATTCTATTTAATTTGTAACTAATAGCGCCCACCGTTGTAGTTCTCCTCGTACCGACCTCCACGTCGTCCACCTCCGCCTCCGCTTCCAAAACTGCCGTAGTCGCCGCTCTGGCGATTAAAGCCGCGACTTCCACCGCCGCCGCCCCTGCGATATTCGCCTCCACGCGACTGCTGCGGGTCCCTGCTGTCCTGGCGCGGATTCCCGGATCTCGAATCGAAGCCCTGGCCTTGTCCTTGGCCCTGGTTCTCTGCGTCCGCTGCGTTGTTATTGCCACCACCACCACGAAGATGCGGGGGCACATACACACCACCGGTGACCGAGTTAGTGGAAGTCTTGCTTGTTATGGGGCCGCTGTAGTCAGCAGAGCCGCCATTCAAGTCCAGACCAGCAACCTGCAAAGTAGAATAAGAGTTAGTCAGTTGGGATTTTGTTTAACGATTTGCTAAGATAAAAATATTGATTGACCCTGTACATATATCAAATATAAATCTGGTTTTCATGTCCCAAGTTACCAGACTATAAAAACAAAAGACTTAACTGAAATCTCTCTTCACAATCACAAAAGCAATAGGTACCGCTTCAAGACTATTTTTCTTTTTTATATATAGTTGAACAAAGAGCATCAAAGATAACAATTAAGGCTCTGTATTACAATGAAGGAAATTAAACCTCAATTTCTTTGTGCAATAAACATAAAATAGTTCTGTGTTGCTAATATTTTGCCGGCAGGTGTTCAAGTTTTCAAGTTCAACGTATTGCTTGAAGTCTTCCCAGGGGAAATCTTCTCTAGAACTACCAAAACTTCTCTGTTCCCGCTTAGCAACATGTGCTATTTATCGCTTCCCCTTTCCAGCGCTACGTGTATATATACATCCGTGCAAATCTCTGGAATATATACAAAGATAGAGAGAGGCGCAACTAGTTTAAAGCTTTGAATTTGAATTTCGCCTCTCTCTTTGTAAGCATCTCTCTCGCACTCACGGTCCATTACACAAAGAGAGACCGCCTAGCAACCCAACAAAAACAACACGTGAACAAGCCACCCACACATCAATAAAAAAAAATCGCAGCCGTAGTTGTAGTAGAACATTAAGCCCGGTTGTGGAACCTAAATAAGAACAATGTGGACCGTAATCAAAGAAATCTGCGAAAAACGAATTAGGGCAGTGTAATATGGTAAACATAGTGTTTTATGACTTTATAAAATCCCCAAAGAAAATTCATTACATTTTAATAATATAACAAAAAAAAATATCGCTTTAAAGAAAAAAGTATGTATTATTATAAGAATATATTCATATTTTTAAGGGGCGTCTAAAAGCGACTATATAGTTGACCTCATTGTATTGCCTATTAAAATGCTTTGTCTAAATGCGGGGAACCACAATATTTAATGATTGTGAATGACATGCTGAAACTTATTTATTTGATGAAGGGTTAATTTTTAATAAAGTACACTACTCGAATTTCAAACAATAATAAATTCAAAGGTGATTAAATCTAAAAATATATTATATTTTTGTGTAACTTATACTCTAGTGTATATAATAAAATAAACGCATTATTAAACTTAAATTATTTTAAATGCCCAAACTCGTGAAACCAGTGTAGATTACAATTTTTATTTTTTTTTTATTTTGCTAAATCACCCTTGAAATTAATCATCCGATCGTCAACCCCTGGCAACCCTGTTTAAAACAGCTTCCACATGTGTGTGCAAGTGAGAGGGCGAAGTATGATAAACACACACACGCTCAACCTTAGAACAGCGGCACTGCTCACACACACACACAAACATGGGAGGCCGAGTGGAAACTTTCATATGTATATAATATACATGTCAAATTGGAGGCAAGCGAGCAAAAATTATACAAAAGAAATTACAAATTGGAATGACGAAGAAGAGCCCAGACCCACACATGCAAACGTACACATAAATTCGTCACCGACACGATTCACCGTTGTAAAAGAGCGATAGAGACATTAGTGTGTTATGAAATCAATAAATTTCTAGCCGAACTTTTTCCCGAATAGCCGCATGAGCATCACTTACACACACACGCACGCACTCACTCATCCACTCACTGTATATATGGATGTACTTTTCTTATAGAATAGATAGGTAAGGTTTTTTACCCAGTTAAAAACTCTACTTACTTGCTGCTCTAGACCTGTGCCATTTTGGTTAATAGCATTACTCATATTATCCTCCAATCAGTTGCTTTTTTTTTCTTGCTTTCCGTTTAGGAAAATTTTGCAATGGTTACGCTTTGCTTTTTTTTTGGGGTGCACACTTGCAATTTGCGACAAAAAAATGTATATGATCGTTGTGTTAGTGTTGCACTTTGTGTCTATACGTTTTTCCTTAGTTTTTCCGACAAAAACTTCTTACGTTCCACAAGCTACTGCGTTCTCGTGTGAAATTTTTAGGGGTCTGTACTTTTTTGTTCCTCGCACACAATTCCTTTTGTTCGGCTTGAAACTGAGACGTTTCCGTATCGGATTCGGCTGGCCTGTTTGTGCCAACAATTACAATTACAAGCGCTATGGGCTTGGAAAATGCTGCTTTTCCGACGAGTTCACGTTTTTTTCCGCTTTCAGACGCGTGTCTAAAAAATAGGGTTGCTTAATGATGTATATCGATGAGGAATCGATAAATGTACTCGAAGAAGCAGGGACTCAACCCTGGGTTCGTGGCTTCGGTGGGATGGCAAAGGCTATCAATCGTGGCCAGATCTCTGCGCCAACTTCGTGGTCTATCGAATTCAAATTAAATTTCGTTTGCTTTCGCTTTTTCGGGGCGTCGATCTCTTTAACGATGTTGACTTTTTTTTGAATGGAAGAGAAATGAGGCTGTGCAGTTGAATTTTGTATCAATTTGGCCAAAAGTTGTTGTGTTTATGTTTAGGGGAGTTATTTTAGAAAGCGTCAGTCGCTATCCCCATTTATTTTGAAGCAAAAAGCAAGGAATTTTTCAAAACGATATCATAATTGTACACATTCTTTCCTTTACCAAAGAAAACAAAACATCTCGATTTTTCGAACTCTCGAACTCTCAAATATATTCATGCGCTTTTTCGTATTTAGAATATACATACATATCGTGGGTGTACATGTTTATATAGAATAAATGCTTTTGGTATTGGCCTCAGCTTGAGATTAGTTAGTGGAACAATAAATATGGCTATATAGTATCGTATATATATATTTATATTAATGCCAAATCACCTAGCCCTTGAGAAGGCAGCGGGAGTAGAACTCCCGGTCGATGGCGTCGTTTGGAATGTATGAGCTCCACTTAAAGATCAACGCAAGCGTATCTCTCGCAGACATGTGATCCAGTGCAATGTTAAGGAAACAATTCCAATTGTAAAAGAAATGGCGGCCCAGCTGCTCCTGTTCCACGCCAGAGATGCATTCACAATTAGCGCACATCAGTCGTCCGCCGCGTTGGAGTTCCACGAACTGTTCAAAACAGCGACCCCAAGCGCCAACGCTCAGTTGCTTGCCAACGTCCGCGAGAAGTTCCGGTAGTCCATAGTTAAGAACGATGGCCACCACCTTGGTGATATTTTGTTCGGCTAGATAGAATTTAGCTAAGACGTCTAGAAGAGCCGGAACAGACTTTACAACATCGAAGCATTTAAGCTGCTCACCGCGGGACCAGAAATATCGCAGGAGAACCGCTCCCAGCTCGTGGTATTGACAAGAGGTATCGAAACGGAGAGGGAACGAGCAATGCTCGCACTTTACAATCTCAGCATTTTCAGGCGCATTTAGCAGTACAAATCCAGCAGCTATGTAGTCCCTTGTGTCATCGTCAACTTCCCAGATAAGCTCCGGATCTAGGTAATCAAAGTACATCTCGTAGCAGTTGCGTTGAGCTTGGTCCGTCGTATCACCATGCTCCACCATCACCTGGGATAGTTTGTCGAGTAGATTCACCAACTCCCCCGCTGCATATTCATCGAATACCGCCCGATAACGACCGACGCACTGCGTCCGACTGAACTTGGCACTCTTTGCGATCAGGTAGAGATTGTACAGGGTCTTCTCCTCGGGACTAATGTGCGGAGCCTGCGGGGCCGGTTTTCTGCAGCGACTCACAATCTCCTCCTCCTGATCCTCGGATCCGGATTCGTAGCGCGCCTTGACGTCCTTGAATGGTAGAGAACGCTCGCTGGCCGGAATTAGTTCCCTGACCAGCTGCTGCTGTTCCTCGGCGAAAATATTGAACTTGTACTTTATGATGTTCTTTCCGAATTTACCAGTTACCGTCAGTAGGGCATCCTTGAAGTGTCCCGACTTAAGCGGCTGTTTAAGGTTGTCGCAAAATGCATTCTCCAAAACGTACACTCCTTTAGGTGGCGCCTTTGCTGAACTTCCTCCGCTTAAACTGCGCTCTGTGGTAGCCGAACTTCCACCTGAACTATGCGTATCCAAAGCACTGCCTGTGCACTGTGTTATGGCATCGAAAATCACGGATATATCATTCAGTAGTTCATACTCCTGTCGCTCGATAAGCAATTGTTTCAGGGGATTTAGCTGCTTCAGCTCGTAATCTTCCCGAGCCTTGTCTGCAAAATATCGGACATGCTGTCGAAGAAGATTTGCACAGGGTAGCAACTTGGATTGCTGTATAAGGGAAATGGCGTGCGATTGCAACGTTTGCAGCTGGACACTATATAGTGCACCCGACTGGGTGAACACGAAGATCTCCGATCCTGAAGAGCGACAGTCAGCGATCCTCTCGAACTGATTGCACCACAACACCACTGCCGATCGCCTAATGTCAAACACATATAATCCAAGCTCTGTAAATGCAAGCAGGAAGTCCTCGTTTAGCCTTTGGACCTTGGCAAACTGTAGGTTTTGGGGTTGATACTCCAGCAACTCGGCATTGGCATCCAGTTCGTCTGTGCCGCTACCAGGTCTCTGAATCCTTGCCGGTGCAGTAGCCAGGGCTGCCTTGAATTGGTGCGTCTGTATCACCTCTCCTTCGAAGTCTACTTCCCAAACGCGACTGCCAGGTCGAGCGCAGTAGATTCGCGATGGCTGTAAAGATTCCTGTGGTGAGACGAAGAAACAGGCTCCAAAGGCTCCATCACGCGGACGATTCCCTATCTGAAAAGAGTATACAATTAATTACAGCTTACATATACGCACTTGACATTGATGCACTTGAAATGATTAAGCGTGGATCATCCCATATAATCATGTTCAATGGATCATATAATCAAGCACAATAAAAAATCTACGATGAAGGTTTTAATAGATTATAATTGTTCCATTTAAACACGCACCTGCTTGTACTCCTCATACTCCGTGTTGCAAAGAATGCACTTGGTGCAGTTAGACACCAGCAGCAGGGACTCGAAGTCGTCGATCTGGACTATTGGGGAATCCAGGTAGAGCAGCGGATGCACGGTCATGTTCAGCAAAAGGCTATGCCCGATGAACGAGGAGAGCAGCACGAGGCTGACCTGTCCGCGGGAGTCGCCATAGTAAAACTGCTTCTCATCCTGTGTCCAGTGGATGCAGTTCACCTGCACAGATTGGTCTAGGTGCGTGAAGATGACCTGCGGCGTCGCCTGGGCGGACAAATTCACGGCGTACACGCAGATAAGCGATCGTTGCGTCGCAAAAGCCACATATTTGCTATTCGCAGAAATGCTGAGACTGGTGATCGCTCCATGCTTGTTTGGTATCAACAGAAGGAACTTGCCGTTCCGATTGAACAGGTACAGCGATCCGGACGAGGCCCCGAAAATGATATAGCTGTCGGATATGTCGAAGCAAGTGTACTAAGGAGAGGGCGGAGATGTATTAGTGGGTGGTCTGATATCAAATTACAGGTGAGATTCGAATGGATTTCTCACCTTGATACGATTGTGGTGTTTCAGCGGCAGAGACAGCGACAGCGAAAAATCAATAAAGTTCGTCAGGCAGTAGGCGTCAGCCATGTTGCGGGATTATATTGTTACAAAATCGTTTGTAATCACATAGCTCGATCTTTAATCGGGATTTGTTGATTGACTTGAATATATCAAGCAATTATTTACAAAATTTGTATTTTTATCAGCGAGACAATCAATTTGTGTACACAGGCCGTTGAAACTTTCTGGCAGCTCTGTGGGTGCTGGCAGGTGTTCGATAATAAGTTGTATATTTATCGGTTTTACACAGTTTATTCCTGATTTGAAAAGAGTTTGTACTTGTAGTTTTTCGGGGAATTTAATAATGAGTTTGAAAACAAAAATATTTGAAATCACAGATCATTAAATATCGATATTTTAAGTGTTGTAAAATTCCCGTTCCCTTGTTTATCTTTACTAAAATGAGTATGGCAACGCCTTATTTAACATCTGATATTCCATTTTTCATATAAAACTTCAATAAAAAAAGCATAATATTTAAAGAAAAACTATATATATTTTTTTAATTCGAAGTAAAACGCCTATAAAACAATGTTTAATATTAGAAAACAAATAGCTGTTTCCCAAACGAACAGCTGTTTTCGGTTACCTCCCCCAACCGCAATATTTGCTGTCAAATAAACGTCAAAACAGTCGCGCGACTCCGCCAGGCGAAAAAACTGCAGAAAAAGTGAAATGAGCCGTGAAAGACACTAGAAAAATACAAATAAATGCCTAGCAGATACCGCATATAACCCGCATATGTACATAGAAACCAAAGTGTAGAAATGGGCGACAAGGAGGAGCCCGTCACACCCGCTCCCTCGCCCACGGAGGAGGGCATGGCCAATATTGGGTCTGCTGGAGTCGGGGAACAACCCCAATCCTCAGGGAGTAATACCAACGTGAAAATCGTGATCATTGGAGCCGGAATGGCTGGATTATCGGCAGCTAATCACCTCCTGCAAAACGGCTGCGAGGATTTCCTCATTCTGGAGGCACGGGGCCGGGTGGGAGGACGTATAGTGTCCATACCGCTCAGCAACAATCAGAAGGTAGATATTTATTATATAACCGCTGAAGCCAAAGAACGAAGGCAATCCATTGTTAAGCTTGGGAGATTATACGCAAATATTCCGCAATCGGAAAAACTATAAGCATGTTGTAACAGATTCTTCACCTCAGCAGTTGATTATAGATTTTTCCAAGCACTGCGCAGTCGGTCAGCTGTTCACGCTATGCTATTTTTATACATGTTCCTGTTCCTTATATTTCTATTGTTAGTTTCACTTGTTTTGCTCCCTCGAGGTCTCCTAATTTATTTTAATTGCTTCCGAATTTCAAAACGTTGAATCCTCAAAATGATCATGATTTTTGGCTGTTTGTTTGCATAGCTTTTACCTGTTTGGCGGCACTTTATCTAGGAATTTGTTATACAACTTTCATTGGCAACTTTTAGTAAGATAAGATAGGGTTTTTCTGAATTAAGCCAATAATGACGTATCTGGTGCAATGCCCTAAAAAACTCATGGGTTTGCGGGCCCACGATCACGTAGTCTTATAGGGCTGGAAAATCTTCGTTATATATCTATATACATATATTCAAAGGGACTACTATCTTTCTTATGATTAGACTAACTTTCTAGGCTCTTAAAATATGAATTAATGTGGGTCAGTTCTTATCTGTTATCACCGGCAAGTTGAAGGCATTTATCTATTTTTAAATGAAGCCACTTGCCTTAGAATTCTTTAAGCACTCGCACTCTCACTTTTATTTCACAGATTGAACTTGGCGCCAACTGGATACACGGTGTCCTGGGCAACCCCATCTTCGAGCTGGCCGTTCAACATGGTCTAGTCAGCGTTGTCAATGTACCAAAACCGCACAAGGTAGTGGCCACCACGGAGGACGGGCACCAGGTGCCGTTTAGCATACTGCAAGAGATCTACGAGGCTTACGTCTGCTTTTTAAGGCGCTGCGACGAGTACTTTTTATGTCAGTACAGCCCACCTCCAGATATACACAGCGTAGGCGAGCACATTAACTATGAGATCGAGATCTATCTGAGCGGTGTGCAGGATCCTAAGGAGAGGCGACTGAAGCAGTCTATCTTTAACTGCCTGCTTAAGCGAGAAACCTGCATAACAGGCTGCAATAACATGAACGAGGTGGATCTTCTTGAACTTGGTGAGTCTTTGACTATTAACAAATGTTTAGTTTCAAAATATAAACATATTCTCACTACTAGGCAGCTACACAGAGTTACAAGGGGGCAACATAGTGCTGCCATCTGGTTATAGCTCCATTCTGCGACCGCTGGGTGCACAGATTCCCAAGCAATCAATCCTGACCAAATGTCCGGTGAAAAAAGTTCACTGGAAGCGAAAAAAGACATTTACTGGACTGGAGACCGTTGATGAGAATTCGGAGGATGAGCACTCGGACGATTCCGAACGAACGGTGACGGAAGTGCCCACGGGGGGACTTCGAGGCGCCTCCGTGGAGTCCAACTCCAGCAGCAATTGTGATTACCCTACGGGCAATGTGCGTGTGGATTGCGATGACGGTCGTGTATTTCATGCCGACCATGTGATATGCACCATACCCCTGGGCGTGCTGAAAACCACCCATCGCACACTCTTTGATCCTGTACTGCCACAGTACAAACAAGAGTCAATAGAGAATCTCATGTTCGGCACCGTGGACAAGATCTTTTTGGAGTACGAGCGACCTTTCCTCAGTGCCGATATATCAGAGATTATGCTGCTTTGGGACGATGATAAGCGAGACATGGACAACACCGAAGAGGAACTAGCCAGCGAAGCGTATCTCAGCAAAAATTGGTACAAGAAGATTTATTCGTTTGCCAAGATGACCGATACGCTGCTGCTAGGCTGGGTTTCCGGTCGGGAGGCGGAGTACATGGAGACTCTTGACCACGAGGCAGTGGCTGAAAAGTGCACAGAAATATTGAGAAACTTTCTTCAGGATCCGTACGTGCCCAAGCCAAAGCGATGTGTGTGGTAAGGCATAATCTTATTATTTAATTAGTCGATACAACTTATGAACTGAAATTTCTATCGTAGCACCAGTTGGAAGTCCCAGGACTTTACCGGAGGTGCCTATACTTCGATTCCCGTAGGAGCCACTCAGGAGGACATCGAAAACCTTGCCCAGCCCCTATATGCCACACCCCAGGCCATGAAGGTCGGTTCAACAAAGTATTTAATCATGTGAATCGTACTAATTTTATTTTTCTCGTAATTCCTTAGCCCGCCATAGTCTTTGCCGGGGAGCACACCCATTCCAGTTTCTACTCTACTGTACACGGCGCCTATCTAAGTGGACGGACGGCAGCGCAGCATTTGCTGGCAAGCGAAGAGCCAGACGAAATCATCATGGAGTCGGACGGCAGCGATCTGAGCGCCTGGATACAGGGTATTGCCCTGGACTGATTCTAAGCTAAAAAATCAACGACCACTCATCGATTTTGTATTATAATTTATTAACGTTTTTGTAAACTCTTCAAACGCTTTTTAGCTAGTGATATTTCATTTTTTCGATTGTAATTTATTTTGCTAATGTCGTTAAACGATTTAAATATTTTTTGTACATCCCTTGTGAGCATTTGTTTTATTCTGTTGATGCAATTATTTTGTAATTTATTTGAAATCCGCTTGTACAATACTATAAATAAATGTTACGATTTAGCTGAGCTGATCAATGTGCTGCCAACTCAAACAGAACGTGCACTCACAGCAGCTTTCACTGTACTTGGACAAAATGTGTGCACAAAAACAAAATGTTGTTTAGACCTAATTACCGATTAGCAAACTTAAGTACATAAATACAAATATAATGCCTATTTTTATAAATTCGTATTTAATGTAGAAATCGTTGCACCGTGTTAGAAGGCGGACAGAAACTGTGTGCAACAAATGTAATAAATTTAAATGTAACTATTGTTAACGTTGACTATTTTGCTAACTAATTTATGCATTGGTTGAATCTTCAAAACGGGAAAGCAAGAGTTGATATTCATAAAACCGTTCTAACTATAAGATCTGCATATTTATTTGTATTTGTGACGAAAATATCGACTTGTATGCATAAATAAATAAAAGAACACGCTAAATTATTAAATTACATGAGTAAGCTGTTCATTTGGAAACATTTTATTATAGCAAAGTATCGATTTCTAACAACAAAAAGTATAAAAGTATCTGTATGGCTTTTGATTTAAAGCCAAGCATCAAAATTCAAAATATCTGAAATTATTTGTATTCTTTTGATTTTCTTGGCTAAATTCTTGTGTTACATTATTGCAAATTAAATAACCGAGTGGTTACGTAGTTGATGTGAAAGAGGTAATTTAGTTATAAATATTAATATAGAAGCTAAGTTATACGTAAGTATAAAAAGAAGAAGAAGATAGAAGTAAAAAACAACAAAAAATCCTTCGAGCCGGATTTGAACCAGCGACCTATGGATTTCTATTGCATGTTTTCCAACTACAGTCCACCGCTCTACCAACTGAGCTATCGAAGGGGGCGTGCTGGGGTGCAGGTTTTACACCGGGTATCCGGATAATCGTTAATGTTAGTCAGACATCTCTTGGTAAATGGTCAACTTAATTAATTTATAACATTGCTTATTTTATTTTTATCGAATGCGGCCAGGGTCATTTTTTGACCTGCAGTTCCAGTTTTTTTTTTTATTATTGTATATTTCCTATGATGTTGCTTATATGATTTTTAAGCACTCTTTTTAGTTTTGAAATTGATATTTAAAATTTTTTTAATACTTACTGGTTTCAATATATTTATAATCAAAACGAAAATGAAAATAATTTTTATAAACTAAAAAATAATTTAAAAAATTATTCAAAAAATCCTTCGAGCCGGATTTGAACCAGCGACCTATGGATATCTATTGCAACGTTTTCCAACTACAGTCCACCGCTCTACCAACTGAGCTATCGAAGGTTAAAAACATTAGCGTCCAATGTGAGTTTTCTCCATCGGCACAAACGAGCAGCAACGCTCAACTGTATTACTTTTGATTTTGTTATGAGTCTGATCAGGTTTGGGTCAGCTAACTCAAAGCCATTTATGGCAATCACGGCTTTCCAAGTCGAGCTAATTTGATAACGTAAACATCGGCCAGACAATTAAAATATACTAGCACATCTAAGCTGGTTTATAAAAATATATATTTTTTTTTTATGAAAGTTCATGACATATCAAATAGTTATATAGTTTAAATAGTTTTACAGTAGTATTTTTTCTTATATGTATGGTTGCTAACTTTATAGTTTATGATTTTCCATAAACTTTCACTTTTGATTTACACATCTTTATTTTTTTTTAATGAGTTCCATTGCCACAAGAAGTATCTGCAAGTATGAAATGCCATTTTATGCACTTTAAAATAAATTTTACAAGACATCAAATGGATAAAAAAAATTAATTACATCTTCCGATCCTTCGAGCCGGATTTGAACCAGCGACCTATGGATTTCTATTGCATGTTTTCCAACTACAGTCCACCGCTCTACCAACTGAGCTATCGAAGGTTGAATTTGTTGGCGGCAAATTCACCTTTTCTTCACGAGCAAGGAGGCGAAAGTAACTTTACATTAAAGTTTTTATATACACCTGAATTTACAGCTTACATATCGGACTTTGTTTAAATTAGTATTATTAGTATATTAATATGATAACAGCTGTAATTTAATGTTGCAAACAGCGGGATCGGATCCCAATATACTAAAAATATACCGCAGCCAATTGGTGATTTACTTTGCTAGAACCTTAGCAGTGTTTAAAACCACTCGTTGAAGAAAAAGGTTTCACCCTCGTTCTCCTACAAGAGCGGTAAAATTATTAGGCGTTATTAAATTCTTCTTCTTCTTCTTCTTCATATCCACACTTTTAAAAATAAAAAATGAGTTAGGTTGTATATAAATTAAATTTTTTAGAAAGATAGAAAACAGTAAAAAAAAAAATTAGAATCTTTTCCATGTTATGATCATGATCTCTACTAGTTTTCTACTCGCAGCTGTGCGCAGATAAGAGGGTGGTGTATATACATATGTACATACCTATATCCATCTCGTTTCAGCGCCGACTAGTAGAGCGGGAGAATAGCAGTTGGACTCCATATACATACATACATAGCCGTGACTTTGCGAGTACGCTCCCAAAATTGAGCCCCCACAGCGTAAAAGCGACCGAGGCGCCGGCGACGAGAGCAGTTCGTTCACAGAAGCCGGCTGCAGCGGTCCGTTGAAAACTCCGATTCCAGCAACACCACCACGTCTATACTATTGTCTGTCTTTTGCAAACATAGAGGCGTCACCCTTTGGCTAACGAATCCGAAACTCTTGAGTGCCGTTGTACAAAATCTTGATATTAAAAACCGCATTTGTACGGATCAAATTCAAATTAACCGACCGATTCGCAAGATGTCGTACCACAAGCCCGAAGCCAAGACCGTCCAGGATCTGAAAGATCTGGCCCAGAAGCTGCGAATTCACTCCATCAACGCCACCCAGGCCTCCAAATCGGGGTAAGCTTACGAATAAATGGAAACCTATTAGCAAATTAAAGTGTGCATATGTACATATAGATGTGTGTTATATGCGAATTTCAAAAGTTGTGCACCTTGCACTTGTTGCTTCCAAAGGTGACCCCTCTATTCCAGGGGTGGAAAAAAAAAGAAAAAGTTTTTAAGGGGCCGATTTGTTGTGTTGTAAAATTTGAATTGATTACGTTAAATAACTTCAAACTTTCACTAATAAAAAATTTTGGGGAGACCGATTCCTTTAAGGAACCCCCTCAGCCACCCCTGAGTTTTTGTTCCCAAGCCACGTGTTTTCCAGTAGATTCAGTGAATTCGCGAATTTTTTGCCCTGTTTGCGTACTCACTGATAAGCCTCATTCACCTTAATAACTAAGTTAATATTTTTTTGACCTTAGACAACCTTGAAAAATTAAGCTTTTTCTCTTACTGCTTTATAATTTCTATTTTGTTTTTGTGCGTGGCTTTTAAAAAAGCCGACGCAGCCATTACACACATAAACACAAATGGCGTGACATATAAACAAATATATACAACACATGTATGTGCGTATATATCTATATCTAAGAGTGTTGGAAAGCACAGCTTATGACGGAATGAAAGGGATGGGGATATTAATGGAATGATACCCTACACTTGAGATTTACGACCCTATGGATTTGAATGTAATTAGACCTCTGATAGACGCGACTGAATTGTTACTGCAACAGTAAATAAAAAATAGAGTATGCTGATAAGAAAAACACTTTTATCGCCTCGATTAGTTTTTCCATTTTTTATTTTTTTTTGTGACTGTTTAAGATAAGATCTGTTCTATTTGCTCTAAATGTGACCTCTGCCGGCGAGATAAGCGGGGTTTGGTTACTCACTGGTTGACGATATGACCGATTAGAGGTGACCAGCTCAAGTGTGTTCCCCGCATGATAATAGAAAATCACTGAAAATTGATAAAATATGTGAGCCGGGTCACTGCTGACACTAGGTATCACCTTCATTAGTTCTTGATATGACTAGAGGAAGTTGGGACGCACTTGGAAACTCTCTAAAAACACGTGCTTCAACTGAGATAACCATGCAACGCCATCGTGTAACCAATCTGGTTTATAGGTTTTTTTGGGGATCAGAAAAGTTCAAGGTAGCAAATGGCATTCATATAAAGCTGAAAATCACACCACATACATATTTACATATGTACTGTTGTTTAGGTGATTTGGTTTATTTATATGTCTGGGGTAAGACGAGCCCCCCTTTTTGTTCTATGGATGCGAGATTTTGCGGTTGGAGTTGTGCCAGGTCTGCAAATCGCAGCCAGCTCTTTCGGAATTTATCTTCTTTGTTGGAATACGATCTCATGGGAACTTAGAACTTTGCGGAATCGATCGAATCTTATTTATAATTTGAAATCAGATACTTCAGACAGCTTTAGTAAACAAATTATTAAGGGTACAGCTAGCTTCAATGGTATTAAAAGAAAAGCCAATTTAAAGCTATTAATATTTAGACTTAGATAATTATTAAGTAAAATCGTAGTATAAATAGTTAGTTTAGTTTAAAAGTCAAAAGGTAGATTTGAAATTTTTCTATAGTCTCGATTTCCTTTTACATTTTGGCCTTCGTTAAATCACGAGAAGGTCGACTTCTAATGCGATTCAATAAACACCTGCCTTCACCTAGAATAAAATCCACAAAGTCTATTCTACAATCTAATAATTTGCCTTTTTCTTACGCTTTATAGCCATCCCACATCATGTGCCTCGATCGCCGAGATCATGTCCGTGCTGTTCTTCCAGCAGTTGCGTCTGAACTTAAAGCACCCTCGCGATCCCTCCAGCGATCGTTTCATCCTGTCCAAGGGGCATGCGGCTCCCATCCTGTACGCCGCCTGGGCTGAGGCTGGTCTCTTCCCCATTGAGGATCTGAACAATCTGCGTAAGATCGACAGCGATCTGGAGGGTCACCCAACCCCCCGTCTGAACTTCATCGATGTGGGCACTGGTTCCCTGGGACAGGGTGTCGCCGTCGGCGCTGGTATGGCCTACGTGGGCAAGAACTTCGACAAGGCCGACTACCGTACCTATGTGGTTGTGGGCGATGGTGAGTCCGCTGAGGGTTCCATCTGGGAGTCGCTGCACTTTGCCGGCCACTACAAACTGGATAACCTGTGCGTGATCTTCGATGTGAACCGTCTGGGTCAGTCGGAGGCCACTTCCCTGCAGCACAAACTGGATGTGTACCGCGATCGTCTGGAGGCTTTCGGCTTCAATGCTGTCGTTGTCGATGGTCACGATATTGAGGAGCTGAGCAAGGCCTTCCATTGCGCTGCTATCACCAAGAGCAAGCCCACCGCCATCATTGCCAAGACCTTTAAGGGTAAGGACTTCCCCAATATCGAGGATTTGGACAACTGGCATGGCAAGCCCCTGGGCGATAAGGCCGCTGAGGTGGTCAAGCATCTGCAGGGTCTGATTGTCAACAAGAATGTCAAGTTGGCCCCCAAGCCAGTGCCCAAGACTGGAGCTGCTCCCGAGGTCGATATCAGCAATGTCAAGCTGAGCTCGCCACCTTCTTACAAATTGGGTGATTCGATTGCCACCCGTTTGGCTTATGGCACAGCTCTGGCCAAGATCGGCCAGAACAACCAGCGTGTGGTTGCCCTGGATGGCGACACCAAGAACTCGACGTTCTCGGACAAGCTGAAGAACCTCGACCCGGAGCGTTACATCGAGTGCTTCATTGCTGAGCAGAATCTTGTGGGTGTGGCCGTAGGAGCCGCCTGCCGTCGCCGCACTGTCGCCTTTGTGTCCACCTTTGCCACTTTCTTCACCCGTGCCTTCGATCAAATCCGTATGGGCGCCATCTCGCAGACTAACGTCAACTTTGTTGGCTCTCACTGCGGTTGCAGCATCGGTGAGGATGGTCCCTCCCAGATGGGTCTGGAGGACATTGCCATGTTCCGCACAATTCCGGGCAGCACCATCTTCTATCCTTCGGATGCGGTGAGCACGGAGCGTGCCGTTGAGCTGGCTGCCAACACCAAGGGCGTCTGCTTCATCCGGACGTCGCGTCCCAACACCTGCGTGATTTACGACAATGAGGAGCCCTTCACCATCGGACGCGGCAAGGTCGTGCGCCAGAAGAGTTCTGACGAGGTTCTCCTGATCGGAGCTGGAATCACCTTGTATGAGTGCCTGGCCGCCGCTGATCAGTTGGAGAAGAACTGCATCACTGCCCGTGTGATCGACCCCTTCACCGTGAAGCCCTTGGATGCCGAGCTGATCATTGAGCACGGCAAGCAGTGCGGAGGACGTGTGGTCGTTGTTGAGGATCACTACCAGTATGTTTTATCTATAACTCTTTTAACGTTTCCGTATTGATAATTGGATGTGTCATTTATTCATTACAGGCAAGGTGGTCTGGGTGAGGCTGTACTGAGTGCCCTGGCTGGAGAGCGCAACTTTGTGGTTAAGCACCTATTCGTGCCCACTGTGCCGCGTTCTGGACCTCCATCCGTTCTTATCGACATGTTCGGAATCTCCGCCCGCCATGTCGTGAACGCCGTTAACGAAATCCTTAAGGATTAGGGATCGAAACTCTTAAAGTCATCATCTGGCTACATTCATTTACCGCCTACAGGAATAACCCCAGTTACAACTTAACTTTACCCCTACCATTCCCCTCTTAGATTGTTGATACTCTTATCGATTTCAACTTTTACAATCAGGAAAATAAATTATCTTTGAAAAAAGTATTTTTACAAAAGACAAAAGTTTTGCATGGAGATGTCTTATTATTATTTGGGGAAATAATTTCACTGCAATTATGCAGTTTTTTCATATAAGAACATACTTTTGACAATGGGGAAGGCCACCTTTTTAAGGTTCACATAAGAGCCCCATAATTATGTAATATGACTGTTTTAGAGAGAAAATATTTATTTGCTAGACAGGCCATTAAATACTTGATTAGAAACTTTTTTCATAATAAGCCTGTACCTACCTTGAAATGATCATATTTTACTATTTAATTTATATAATGCAAAATGTACTGAAAATTAAAAATATTTAAATTTCAGTTACTTTTTGATGAAAACCTCTCATTTAAACCGCAAGCAGGCAAGTTGGCAGCTCTCTCCAATAATAAAAATTATCGATAACTCCGTTATCGCCACCTTCAGTAGCAGCTGATTATCGTGCGGCATGATTATCTAAACATTTATTTGTTTCAGCGATTCGTTTTAATAATTAAAAATGAACTTAAGCTCTAGAGTTATGCTGAATAAATTGGCGCAGCAGTGCGCCTACAAGCGAATTGGTAAGGAATCACATTTTATCCACCGGCACACATTCAGGATTCGTATCTTTTAGTCACATTCTCTACGAAAACGGCAGAACATGCTGTTGAAAATAGGGAGGAACAGAAGAAAGAGGAGGCTTCGGCTTCCACAACCGCTCCACCGTCTCCTCCTGTTATCCGTAAACCCATTATCCCGCCGAATTATCGGTTCGTTTACCCGGAATTCCTGCCCGATCCAAAGGTAGAGTGGAGGAATCCCATACGCGAGAAACTGGAGCGCCTGGATATGCTTGACCGGCGCAAACAGATTGATCTCCCAGAATTTTATGTAGGATCCGTGCTGGCAGTGACTAGCTCCGATCCCCATGCCGCCGGCAAGACCAGTCGCTTTGTGGGCATCTGCATTAATAGGGACCGCTGTGGACTGCGTGCCCGCTTCATCCTACGAAACGTCATCGATCACCAGGGCATGGAGGTAGTCTATGAGTTGTACGATCCCACGATCCAGAAGGTGGAGGTGCTGCGGCTAGAAAAGCGCCTGGACGACAGTCTTTTCTATCTTCGTGACGCTCTGCCAGAGTACAGCACTTTTGATGAGAACATGGAGGCGGAACCGCTGGAGGAGGGTGCTCCGGTGCCAGTTAATGACATCAAGGTGGTGCTGCGTCCACGTCCTTGGCTGGAGCGCTGGGAACGTCAGAATCTACTTGGCGTCGCCAACATCGATGAGTATCTAAAGGACAAGCATCGTCTATCGGCGGCAAAGGTACAGAAGCCGTGGGAAAAATACGACATGATGAAGGACTACCGTAGCTCGATTCCCGAGGAAGAGCAAACGGAAATATTTGCAGAGGTGCACACGGAACTGCACACCTTGGAGCTGCAGCGCAAACGCAACAAGCGAAAGCGTACATTCATCAAGCCCAAGCACCTGGCGTAAATGCATTTGTTGTCCACTTTGTAGATTAATAAATTCAGAAAAATGTTGAAAATATTTGTTGGATCTACTAAATGTTTAGCTACGCTTTTTATTTTACATTTGTTTTCAATTTTATAAAAATAGCTAAACTACTTCTAAAGAGTTCATAAATATTCAAATTTTAAAAGCTTTAAAAGAACACTACACACCACCTATTTGGATAACTCTAAATTAATTAGTTTATTAGTCATAAATGTAGTATAGTGCTTAGCAGCTAAACGCAGAATAATTTACAATGCACTTTATAGAATTAATATACGCGATACTTGTAGAAGTTGACGAAGGATATCGTGGCGTTCCAGCCAATAATGGTGACGACCAGAAACAGTAGAAAGATGATGGGCAGGGCGATGAGTATGATGCGGGTGTTTTTTAGATGAGGAATACCTGCAGGGAAAACCCATATTATTCAGAGAACTTTATAATGATTGGAATGACTTACAGTTATATCCCAGAAAAGTGATGTACACGTAGTATCCCATAGCCAACAACCAGAAGGTGTTGCCCAAAAATCGGGAGATAAACCACGTCTGGCTGATTAGCCAATTGTAGAAAAACAGCTGGATGAAGTGCAGGAGCATCAATGGCGGAAAGAATGCATTCAAATGTACATCGAAGGCATATCCCCACTCGATATCTGGCTCCAGACTATTCGTACGCAGATACCGATTTGTTACCGCCCAGAAGAATGATGCAATTATAATTCCGACGAAAATGCAGTCCACAAATACCACATAGAAGATGAAGGAGATGCTCTGCCAAAAGGACAGTCCCAGAACATACGCGAAGCCAAGAGAGGTGACTGCCAAGGGGATATAGAATTCATTAGAAACTTTAACTTAAACGTGATCATGTTAATCATGGTTTGGATAGTATTATTGTAATCTTATTGCTAACTGATGAAATAAATTTATTTTCCCTAACTATACGGACTGATATCATATATTTATCTATGGAAAACTGCACTATCAGATCTTCTGAATCTTCCTCTCCCCGTGGGTGAGTGAATGCTGGGCGTTTAAACTCACCACATAGACAGACCACCAGGAGCACTAAGAACGCCGGATCGTCGCGAGCGAACTGTGACTTGGTTTGTTTTCGATAGTTGAAGTTCCTGTAGACCTTTTGGGGCGCCACAAAAAGGTAAAGCATCTGCCACAAAGCAAACTCGAAGTCCATCTGATTAAACTTAAGCAGACGTCGCAGGTATTTGTAGCTCTTAGTGGTCGCCGAGAGGCAGTCTCTCCGGTGGTTGGCTGGCGGCGGGAGCGGCGAGTGGAGCCTTGAGGCACTCGAATAGCCAGAAACCACCGACGGTGTCGGCGATTGCGTATACTTAACGTGGCTATATTGACTCATTTTGTTTTGTTTAAAACTAATTTCTTGTGTTTCCAGTAGAGTGGCCGCGCCCGCAGCGCCACGAAATACCGATTTTCCTTTTAGAATGTGCTAAAACAAACCAGGAAATTAAGATGATGTGGTGTCCCGATAGGAAACAGCTGATTAGAGATGACATTGCAAGGAAATCTTGTGCGGGCAGAAAAATAGATAAAATTATCGAACATCAAGGATGTTAAACATATTAAGTAGTTAAAAATAATGACTGTTTATCATATTATAATTTTTAATAACTTTTTAATGACATTTTATAACCAAAACTTTATCAAGAAAAAAACTTTGTTGACGTGACACGGGAGAAATCCTATGGAATTGCTCATCTCTAATGAACTGTCAAGTCGGAATGTTATGAACCGGGTGCCAAAATTTCATTCTCTTGCCTGACTTTGTTTTGTGTACAAAATTTACGTTCAAGCTCCTATATTTTTAAAATAAATTAAGTAACTACACAAGGTAAGAGCGATTTCTTTTGGCACTTTGAATACCAATTGCAGGCATCCGATGCCACCATTTTACAGCATGAATAGATGTTCAAATCCGTGGTTTCTGCGCGCGGCGCGGCATCACATACGTAATCTGCATGAGATGAGGATTCCGTATGCCCGCCCAATGGGGATAAGTCAGCGTAATTTTACCCTGGAGCCGTTGCACAATCGGGAACTTATCCGCGTCCATGGGGCCGAGGTAGTGCCATTTCTGCAAGGTTTAGCGACCAATGATGTCGCCCGGATTCAGTCGTCTGGCGGTCCTGCCTCTATGTACGCACACTTCCTCAACAAATCGGGCCGAGTACTTTACGACACGATGTTGTATCGAACCAACAATCCAGAAACCATCCTCGTAGAGTGTGATCGCGAGGCTTCTTCAGATTTCCGGCGCCACCTGCGTACTTACCGGGTTCGAAGGCGTATTGAGATCGACAGTGTAGACGACGAATACACCAGTTATGTGATGTTCAATTTTAAGGACGCCCTGAAGGCTGTGCCCAATGCCCATCCAGATTTATTTGTATCGCCAGATCCGAGGCTGCCCGCCCTGGGCACTCGCATTTTGGCGCCCTCCGACATGGACTGGGCTAAGTTAGCCAAGAGTTACATCGAATTTGGTATCGCCACACCTGCTTCCCCGGATAGCAATTACCAATTGCTGCGTTACAAGCAAGGCGTAGGCGAAGGCAGCTCAGAGATGCCTCCGGGAAAATGTTTTCCTCTCGAAGCCAATGCGGATTACCTAAACGGCGTAAGCTTCCAAAAGGGCTGCTATGTAGGCCAGGAGTTGACTGCCCGTATCCATCATTCGGGTGTGATCCGAAAGCGTTATATGCCCATCCGGCTGACGGCTGCTCTTGAAGCTGGTTCCAGCCAGGACGTAACCTCAGTTGCTGGAGCGAAACTTGGACGAGTCTTTGGATCTGCGTACAACCATGGTGTCGCCTTGTTGCGAATCGAGAAGGTTCTCAACGGGCGACCAGAGCTGATGATCGATGGCGAGCGCTGCTATGTCGAACGACCAGAATGGTGGCCAGAGGATCTGCCCGGAAAACGTCGCCAGGCGTTCGCTGACTGACCCGCAGTCTGATTCTAACCACTATTTGTTATATAATCCTTGTTATAAGTGTAGTAAACTAGTCATTGTCAATGTATGCCCAGTTCCTTGTTTCTCTGTTGGTCTTGCAGTGTATCACAGACATGGATGCCGATGAGGATTTCGTCCTTGACAATGAGGCAGCCGAAATTCAACGATTGGAGTTGCCCGAAGAGGAAAATAAACCCGTTGATCCCGAGGAAGAAGATGAACGAATAGCCCGCATCGAATTCCTTTGTTCAGGTTGCGAAATGCACGAGATGGTTCATTACTTTGGACGGAAACCTCCCTTTGCACTGGGGATCAGGTATCCGGAACCTAACTATGTGATGCGGGATCCCTTTCAACCGCCTCCACCTCGTTGGCAATCAAAGGCAGAATACTATATATCATTGGGGACTAAATGCTCTATTTGCTCCAAGACAGTGTGCAAGGATCCTGGGTGCAGTTTTTACTACACATCCACTTTTTGCCTACCTTGCGGGCAGGATAATTTAAAAAATTGGCCAGTGGAGGCTCAAGCACGAATTCGAAAACAACTTTCAGCCAGTCAAAACAATAAAAAATAGAATAGCTTGTAAATAGTTAATAAATTTTAAATAAAATATTAAGTATTCTTATAATTCACTATCTAGGAAGTGTGTCGCAGGATTTTGAATATTTTGCAGCTTCTAACGCAGCACGTTTTTGCTCAATGGTCTGGAACATGGCTTGAGATAGTCGCTTATTTATGTTTCGAAGGTCGGATTTGCAATCAGATTTGCTTTCGTTTGCAATTTGTTTTTTAAATTTTCCAATTCGATTTGAAAGATCTTTATCCAATTTAGCCCGTTCTGTGTCATATGCTTTGAACGTTTCTAGCGCCATCTTTTGTTGGTTTTTGTCTTCGCTATTTGTGGCCATAAACACTTTCCAAATTTGTTCGTCGAATTCCACATATTTTCTATTTCTCCATGGTCTTTTGCTATATTTTTTCAGCATATCTTGTAGCGCTACCAAATAGCTTATGGGTTTAGCTGTAGTATTTGGTGTACTTTGGATAAAAATTTTATCTAGTTCAACATTTTCACACTCATGACTGGGATCATTTAACATTTCCAATTTCATAAGGTTCGATTGTCCTAAGCTCGCTTTGAGTTGTACCTGCTGATTCGTAAAGAAGCTGTGACACTTTGGTAAAAGGTTTCCAAGTTTAAGTAGTTTTTCCGCAACTTGTACTTTTTTAAACATTTCCCTTTCAAGTTCTAATCGCACTTGATTGTAAACAGTGAAATCTGTGTATATATCAATTTTGGCACCAATCTCATAAACGCTTAAGTTTAATCCTGTTAAAACTGTTTGGAAATATTTCTCAAACTCTGAATTGTTTGCTGAGTTATGGGGTCTTGTATGATAGGTTGTATTTATCTCCTTCAGGAGCTCTGTGTACTTCACATCAGCTTTATGCAGGGATGCCTATTGTATAATATAATAAATGTAGTCTTTATAGAATAGTCTTTTGAAAGTACTACCTCTTCAGCTGATTCAGATGATGCCGATGATGTTAAAAGGATAATTGCGAAAGTCAACGCGTTAGTCTTCATTAGACTAGTTATGTTTAACACCAAACGATAACTGGTTTTCCCTTTCAGAATGAAAATAAATATTGTAAAATATAATTTCAAATTATATGCCTAATTAGTTTTGCTGATTATACCCAACGTTCTCTTAAAAATTGGAAATTACAGTTATAGGCTAAAAAGAAAGTAACAAAGGTTTATCTAACATCAGAGAAAATATTACTAAATGTTAAAAAACTTATTTAAGGTACTATTTTACAAGCTTTTTGTCCTTAAAAAAACTTAGGTTGATTCAGCTTCTATCTATCTTTATTAGAGGTTTTGGTCTATCAATGATCTATCAAACATAACAACATATACTGAAAAATCTTAAAAAATCATAACGACTTTTCTAGCTTTCAGTCATAAAAACTCTATGTTCTTCTCTAAAAGTTAGTTCTTGTTAGTTCACTATAAGTAGTCTAAGACTTTGTCGCACACGTAGGCAATAAATTAGAGCATTACATGTGTTAGATATCAAACTAGCGCCTAAATGCGAGCCTTTGATCAGAGCAAAACACGCGTTAAACACCCACAATTGCAGGGCAGTTCAATGGAATCCGACAGTTTTCAGCTGCTTGTCCCACAATTAAGGTATCATTCAGGGAACTTCCTTGCAAACCCAATCCCTAGTTGATGATCAGTGATCCTCGATCAACGGGTCAGCGTTCACCGGTCTATGGGCAATTTATGGCACGGTGTCCAAGCAATTGCACAGAAAGACAAAAAACAATCTTTATCACATTTATTGCAATGCCCCAGGTCTTTTGTCAACGATCCCGAGCAAAAGACAAAGGGCAAGCGGGTGCCACAGGGAAAAGGTCAGAAGATGACCCGAAGGATGAGAATTGAGGACACAAAAGGAGCAACGCGCGCGCGTTTCTCTCATCTCCCATCTTTGAGGTCGTCTTAGAGGTCAAGTTTGACCCTATACGGAAAACTCCTGGGGTTCTAGAAATCTCAAAAGACATTCACTCAATCTGGAATGAGTTTGTTGCTCAAATTTTCTAAAAACTGATCCTAACTCAAACGAAATCGAGTCTTGAGTTGAGTCTTCAAATAGGGGTGGAATTTTATTTTAAAAGGAAGCCCAGGAACTAGAGAGTTTCTCTTTGAGTAGATCTCTCTTTGGCTGACTCTTTGAGTTGCTAGAAAAGTAATCCACTTGGGCGATGGCCATCGATCCTTGTCCACGCAGGACATTTCCGGATTGCATTCAATTGTCATCCGTTAACAATTGCGCTTTTCTCTGGATTCCTCATTTGTTTGTCTTCTTTCGATTGCCTGTCACATTTTGTTACTTCTATTGGTTTTTTAGCTCATGTTACCTTCTTTGTTGCAATCTGGTTACTGCCAAAGATAAATGGCCAAAATTGGCCTGCTCTTTCTTAGTATCCAAACAGCAGCCATCTGACATCTTTTGGCGCCCATAAAAATTAAGTAAAAATTAAGCGCAAACATGAGAATTCTGTCACATAAATTGTATGCCAGCCTGCACCTTGCCATTGACTATTTTTAGTCTTTCCTTCGGGCAGCTGTATAGGGTTTACCCCTCCTTCATTACCCTGGCTTACATGAAAATTAGTCCATCTGCAACTGAGTTATGTGCTGCCGAGGTTGCCGCTTGATTAACACATGTCCTGGACGATGCGGGCGTGGCGAACAAGCACCGCCGACGGGATACCAGATTTAAGGTCCCATATCAGGGGTACCATGTTCGGTAGTCCTCCACCTATATGTTCGTGCTTGGTTTGTTGATGCTCTTAACTCATTCATTATGAATTGGAGGTGTTAAATGTGCCACATGCATCATGTAGTGTTGCAAGATCATGTGTTGCCGATGGTGGTAGCCTACAGAAAGGAAAAGTATTTGTGTTTTGGGAGCTGAAAGATTTTGTTTAACTTTATAATACTTTACACTAAGACTCAGAATGATAAAACATAGGTTAATTTATATTTTTAAGCTTAAAGATTGGAAAACATTAAGATTTAATTCATTTTCCTAATGATTCCTAACCATTTTCCATGCATCATTGAAAGATACTTTCCCATTCGCTTCAGCTTTTCTTCGCTTTCCATTCATCAGCCCCTTGAAAAGAAAGATCAATTGATATTTGTCAAACAGAGAGTCCCCACCCTCGTGCACCAAACCAAATGTTACTCCCACAAAAACGCATCAAAGATTCATCATGTTGCATAGAGAATGCCACAAGATTGTGATCGTGTACATGGAGAAATCATGCGAACAACAATCCCTACAAAACACTGAATCAATCATAAGACGCGCAAATCCTCAAGGAAATCAAACAATGGAGCTGAGATTGAAATCATGATGAGGTTAGGGCCGAAGGGTAAGGAATTTAAGGAACAAGAACTCGGGTCACAGGGTGAGGCAATGTTGCGCGTGCGCAGCGCACGCTCCCGTTAAATGTTTACGCTATTACGCTTAGGGAACCAGGAGCAGGAGCCAAAGGAGCAGGCAAGGAAATGAGCCCATTATAATGCCTTGAGTCCCGACCCCCGACCCTTCGTGTGACCCAGAATTTTACCGAGACGGCGACCCCGGAAAACACAAATCTTACGCGCCAACACGCGACATTCAGATTTTCCTAAGGGTCTCCCTCTGCTGGCTTTTGACTCAGGGTAGATCCCTTGGAGTCCTTCCCCTTCCTTTCCCTCCAACAAATGATTTTCTTATGTCTGCTCCTTTGGGATTTCGAGGGTCTTTGGAATTTGTTTGCTTTCCCGGGAACTGAGACCCCTCATTCAAATGAGCTGAGCTCCTTGGGCGATATTTGTGTTTAGTGTGATCTTTAGCAGCTTGACATCTGCCCTGGCTCCCGGCTGCCGGGTTATGGAGTCATGCCCTAATTTCTGGTAGTTCTTAGTTAATTTTTCAGCCATGAAAATTTGTTGGGCTCCATGGAGAAGGGGGAGCAAGGATGCGTACTCCTTTAACAGCTGCTCCAAGTTTCTCCACGAGACCTCCAAAACTGATTTAACTTTTCCTTTAGGTTTCTTTTAGTTTAAGTAAACTTTTATATGTCATGGAAATGCACGTTCTAAATTATTTAATATATCTATTTTTCAACCTTACCTTCCTAAATTTTCCATAAAATCCAAGATCAAAAGAGAAAGTCCTTTCTTTTAAGCCCACAAGCTAAATGTCAGCTCAAATTTAACGCCAATTGCACGCCTTCCAGAAAAAGAAAGCCATACAAGAAGGGATCTTGAAGGACAAGTATCAAAACGGTCCCATCGGATGATCGGACTCTGATTTCATGGCTGTCCGCTTAGGAGGACAAAGACTGGATCGGTCCAATTAGCCCAGATAAAAAACAGCACTTCTCCTAATCCCGTCAGCGTGTGATTGGCCTCAGAATCTAGCCAAGCTGCAAATGGATGAATGGGCATATGGTTGACTGGGAAATCTGAATTCTGATTGAGAGCTCAGATTGAGATCGCTGGCATATATGAAAATGTCACGCTTATCAAGGACAGAAACATGACCATGCGGACCAAGCGGATCTGTTGTGGTTTGGCGGCGGAAAGGAAGTCGATGCCTCTCACCCGGCAGTCCGACTTTTTGTCCTCATCATCGTCGCCTTTGACTGGAGGTTGGAATGTTTTTGTAGCCGTCGGCCGCTGGCTGTCAGTCAGCTGAGGCCAAACCGGATGGAACTCGAAAACAATAACAATATACGAACTACGCACATGTATCCTGTGCCAGGATATTGCGGTGTACTGAAAGAAATTTTAGTAAAAATGAAGTAGTAGAAATGGTAATAACTTTAAAGTCTATGCACTAATGTTTTTGGATAATAGTAATCATAGAAATTGTGTAATGAAAAGAAAAAATCCTTTTTCGTACTCAAAATGGCATGTTTTAATGCTGATTTACTAGAATCTTGTTATTTTTCTCAGTGTATTTAAAAGAGAGAAAAAAGTAGTAAAGAGATTTGCTGAAGTCCCTAAATGAGATGCAGGCGTTGCTGTTACTTCTCCCACTCCTCTTCATCTTCTGCCAGGACCTCATCCACCTTTCAGCTATATTTCCTACTCATACTCCTCATCCAAACTCCTACTCCCACTTCGATCCTGACCGCGTGCCTGGCCATTGTCCTGACAGCCGTTATTTGAATGACATTTGAATTTTGTGAATTTGCGTCCGCTCGTTGGTTCTCAATTGTTGTTGGGCTGTTCTATGTTCGGCAATCGACGGCTCCTGCGATCGCAGCCAGGATCAGGATTTGATGTGATGGATTCATTATGCGGACAAAGGTGCAGGCTGCAGCAGATGAGGGCTGGAGTATGCCAAGAGAATTGCATTCTACTGATCTGTGGAGAGGGGGGAAATGGAATTCCATTAAGATTATTACTATTCAATTTTCTTTTTTGGTTTATGCAGTTTCTATAACTTGAATAAAAAACGATCAAAAACTTTAGATAAACTAAAGTTTAGCTTCCCAAAAAATAACTTTTTAGATAAATATATAAATATTAGCTAAGCTCTTAAATGAACTTTTTACTGATAAGTTTAATATAAAAACCAAATAACCTTTCCTTCCATAAAAAAACCATCAAGCAATATCAAACCGATAAAGATGTCTGATATAGAAAACACTCCCCTTAAAAAATTCGATATTAACCACAAAAAACCACGCCCCTCTTAGAACTGCCTTCCCCTCTAATTCCCGATAAAGGTCAATTACATAATAATGGCTTCATTTCGAACATCCGATACACCAATTACCATGTCAACTTTTTTTTTTTTTTGTGTTTTTTACCCTCCCCAAAAACAGAACTCACCCCATATATGCATATCGCTTGGATAAAAAAGAAGTGCCCTCATGTTAAGTGGCGCTAAAAATCAAATTAAGGGTGTTTACCTAACGACTCCTCGATTACGGAACAGCCTAAAAAACACTCGGAAGAGGGGGAGCAACAGGCGAGAGGGATCAGGATCCGGAGGGGTGAAACAATGAAAAAACGGAAGTTGTTTTTCTTTTCTCTTTCCTTTTTTTATTTTATGAAGTGTTGCCTTTTTATTGGTGGTTAATTTGAGCACTCGTACTCCATGTTTGACGAGGGTTAAACCCGATGATGATGATGATGCTGATGATGATGCAACAGGCGAGAGATAAAAAGATACAATAGAAGGAAAAAGGGTTCCGATGATGTTTTTATTTTTGGAAACACACTTCGGAGTCTTCATTATGTCAGAATGCGTTGAAAGGGTAAAGTCGTCGACTTTCAGGGGCACGTTCCTGCTTCGGCTCGTTTTTCAAGTTCAATGACAAAGATCTTGCGGTGCCACACGTCCCAAGACCATCTAATCCCTTCGCGTTGATTGGCCCCTTTTATCGGGGAAAAGGGGGGACCAGCGTCCTAGGGGGCTTCCAAAAATAAATGAAAATATTTCAAACACTTTTCAAGGGTGCAATCGCCTTAATTTCATTTTGTTTTTATTACGCCCTGTAAATTGTACCGAAAGGCAATGAGAGGGGCTAGATTTAAGGGGGGAGATGGGAAATAGGGAACTTGAGTGCCTGCGACACTTTTAAAAATAAAACTAACAAACTGTTATGAAGTGTGGCTGAGGAGGATGAGGAGGAAAAAATGGAGTTTGTAGCCAGCAAAGGGGTGAGTTTTCTTCGCCAGGGAAAAACTTCAAAATGGCGACGATTACCAAGGAAAAGTTCAATGAATTGACAGAGAGAGAGAGAGAAGTGAGTGGAAAATTTCTTGTACAAAAAGAAGGGAAAGTTTGAAACAGTTTTTGAACTATAAGATGTTACTACAAGGTCATGGAACTTTTCTTTTTATATTTTATTAAAATGTCATTTATTTCCTTGAGGTTAAGATCACAAAACCTGGAAATAAATAAAAACATTTTAGCCCTAACATTTTTTTATCAGTAAAAGTAAATGAAATTTTGGTTATGGGAGCCTAAGCTAACAAGAGATCTTTAGAAGTTAGTTTATACTTTTTATTTAATTAATAAATACGAGAAAAAATATCAATAGCCCATGATTTTCCACTTTTCAAATACATTTTTGCCTTCTAATATTTCTACATATCAAAATGAAAAGCAGATGTTCCAATTAGCAAAACATTTTCAAACCCTCAAAGTAACAACCAAAGAAATCGAAATAATGGAAAAAGGGTTTTCCGTATTGTAAATGAAATTTTAACACCTTTATTCAGATGTTACTCCCTAGTTTTTGGCAAGAGCAAAAATTATTACAATTTTTCCAGAGAAAAACAAGAGGAAAATCAGTTTCCCTCTCCTTTGCCAAAGCGAAACGAGACCCTTCATTGTCAACCACAATGACCAGCTGAAAAATGCAAGTTAACCCTTGGTAAATCGAAGCAAAAATTTCTGCACTTCACTTTGTCATACAAATCGGAAATTATTGATGGATGTCGTTGGCTGAGCACCTGCAAGGGGTGGAAAAAAGGGGGAAATAGCAGCTGAAAATGAGAGTGAATCATGCAATTGCCAGATGTCCTTATTGGAGGACACAAGCCAAATGGGAGGAGGATAGGCTGGCTAGAACTTGATTCCTTGGTGGACAACTAACGGAAACCCGAAACCCATATCCGCCCATCAAGTATCCAAGCGATGACAATTTGTATGTACCAGTATCTAAAGTATCGTTTAGCACCTGTAGACCTCTGATACACCTCCTCCATCGTCCTGATACTGATACATCATCTTCGGGGTCCTCTAATTGCTCACATTACACTCCATCTATCTATCCCTACAGCTGACATTTGCACTTCGAATGCAGGACAAAAGACCAATAAGTCGATTTACCAAAAACCAAATCCCAAATCTTTTCTTTCAAACGAAACCTACACATGTTGCTAAAAAAGTATCTTTTACAAAAAAAATAAGGGAAAAATCCTTACCCTACCTGTTTTTTATTCACATGTCGAGCTCTCCTCTCTCCCATCCTCAGAGAAAAAAAGTAATATCGATCCATTGAAACCATTTGCCAAATGGTCCTCTGGGTTCGTTTTTCCATTTTTGTATTTCGGTTTTTCTTTTTTTTTGCAACCCTCTTTATAAGGTGGTGGTGGTTTGCCATCCATACCCACCCCAAAAAAAATTCGAAATTTTTGGGTAGTTTGGGTTTCGATTTTTTTTTGGCTCGTTTTTAAGGAGTGTTTTTTGTGTGATATTTTTATTGGTGGTAATCGCATTTTTTGCGTGAAATTTCCTCTATTTGGATTGTGTAATAGGCGTTGCTTTGACTTTTTGGCTACGATTTGATTGGTTTTGATGGCTCGATTAGGGAGGGTTCCTATATTCCTTTTTAGGGGGAAGAAAGGAGAAATATTGTTTATTAAATTTACTACATCTATGTTTCAATTTGTGAATAAGAAGCTTATTTTTTCAGCTTATAATTGAAATTTCTTAACTTTCCACAAGTCATTGAATGAGTTTGCAAAACAGTAAATCCAAAGCCTATCATGGAAAAGCTACCTAAAATTCAAATAGAATAATTTCCAATATAGCTTTGACCCAGTCAACCAGTTAATAGGATGTATTTAACTCATAGACTGTCGAAGACTATGATCCATAGTAATTAAAGTACGCCCCCTGATTGTATCTTTAATTTGCCCCTTTCAGAATATTAGTCTCTCCCAGGCTTCTATGATTTCACTGTTGACTTGAGGGCATCTGGTGGATGTGGTCCTATAGTACTATAGTGCGAGGGCAAACAAAAAGTAAAGGCTGCTGGAAGAGTACGGAATCGGGAATTCAATCGACTGGGCTGACACGAAAGTCGGCATTGTTTGTAGCAAACTGACCAAATGAAGCCAACGGCTGGACTTTCTATAGTGCAAATATGGGCTAGAGGATATAGAGGACTCTTTCAGGACACGCGTATCGTATCTGTGCAACCCCCACACACTAACACACTCACACACACACTCATACACATGCCTATAGGCACACGTTGTTGTCAACTTCCTTTTTTCGGTCTCTCCATAACGGATGCTGGACATTATAGATGGTGTGGAATGGGCATTGGGACTCAGGATTGGGCATTGAAGTATTGGGAATCCAGAGTCCGCTTGCATATATTTTTAACCTTTTGTTGTTTTTCGTTTGCTACTAAAGTGCCATCAGGGGCAGATGTTTTTACCATCCCGTTCGTAGTTTTTCTACTATATCTCCTGTTTTTTTTCATCCATCCATCTAGCCATCCATCCATTTACATGTGGAGTGGACACGATGGACGCATTTTGTTTGCCGAACTGTAAAAATTGTTTTGTTACTTTCGCTGTTTGCCATCGCGAGTTTTTCTTAGTTATGCGCTTTGTTTATTTCCCTATGGGCTGGTGGGTCCTTCATGGATCTCTCTTTCTCTCAATCTATTCCCGATTTACTCCGCCACCATCAACATCATCATTATCTTATAGGTTTTAGTCTGTCTTTCAGCTTTAATTTTCTACAGTTTTGCATATTCATCAACTGTTTCGTTGCAATTAGTTTTGGTTTTTGCCTTTGAATTGCATTTGGAATTGTGGTTGAGTGGAATGGCTGTCGGCTGGGATGATTAACTATCTTTGAAAGTATAGATAATGCCAGTTGAATGGTTATTTAAGCAGGGGGTAGGGTTGGGGGTTTTAAAATGTAAATTCCCTTGAAACATAATCTTGAATGAAGCGGAAAGTGTGGAATTTTGTTTTGTAAATTGAAAAGGTTTTTAGATAAATGTAAATAGGGAGAACTTTGAATTTTGCATATGTATAATAACTTAAAATAAGCAAAGTACAGGTTTAATGAATGTGCATAACACATTATGTATCTACTGTAGAATATCTATCTTAAGTATCTCTTAGATACTAGCCACGCGTCTCGTAAGATATATTGGCTGGTCAACCCTCATAATCAGAACGCCAGGCACATAAATTGTTCGACTGCCAAAACTCAGATGGTCAGCACATCCTTAGCGCTTGTTAGCGGCGGCGTTGGCCACTTAAGGATTCGCTACACCCACCTCAATCTAGCAGGACTACCTTTGGTCAGCTGGACGAGGCACTCTCTCTCTCTCTCTCTGTCTCTGTCCTTCTGGGCTCAATTCCAGTGAAAAACTGTTTACAGAAATAAATTATCGGGGAAGTTTGGCCAAACAAATCCTTAAGGTGGCTGCTCGCACATGACGTCACGCTCGAGACGGCTCTAAAGGATCGCCGCTCATAATTAACCCACACACAGATGCTGGTTAGGTCCGAAACCCTTGATCCGGGTCCCTGACTGATCCTCTCACCCTGCCAATTTTCATAATTAAAATGCGTAAAGTTGTGGAAAAAAGGAGCCGGAGGAGCGTTTCGGTAAGTCTTCGCTGATCTTTGGATGTGGGCGCCGGCTTTAATGTAATCAACAGCTCATCGTAGGTTGCCATGGGTGAGGGGGTGGATTGCTAATCATCGACGGCTGCATATGGCTATTTCGACACCCCCCAGGCGCGTTTTAATCAACTAAACACCCACAACATTTTACCCCCTAAGTAAAATATATATATTATATATTTTTGGTTGAGTGAAAACCCTTGTAAACCCCTTTCCCCTTTCAATATTTTCTATTTTGGTTTTTGTGTTATTTTTGTGGCAACGCAGCTAAAAATGGCCACCAAACTTGGGCACCGTTGGAACCAAAGCCGTAGTCAACCATTTCCAAAACTCAATCCGTAACCCACACCAAATCCGGAATACTTACAACCCCATCCCAAAATGGCGAAGTCAGGGGTGGCGGTGGTGGTTAAACATAAATACCCGATTTATGGCGTTGCTTAGCCCTGTGGGATATATTTATGTTCATGCGACAGAGACGTTATTATTTATACTACACAGAGGGAAAAACATAATGGATATCATAAAATATTTTAATATATTTTATATAGTTTAAGTATTCTTAGAAAGTAAGATAGATATTTCTAACCTTTTACCTTTAAGAATCTCTTTCAATTATCTATTTCTGTTAGGAAAACAAAGACTCGTCGACTTTATACTACAATTTCTTTTAAATTTAAATCTATAAAATATTTATAAATTTTCAAATAAATATTTCTACTACTCCCAAGTGCAGTGATACCATTTTCTAGTCCTTCGATAGCTTGATAATTGCTGATTGAGTTCAATCAATGATGAAAGCGCAAATTATGCATTGTGAAAGTGTGCCATGCGCGTGTCCTGCTGATAAATCAGAGTTGGGGGGAGGAGTCAAAGGTGAGTCAATAATAGCTGGGAAATAAAGAGAGGAAAACCAGCTGCTAGGAAGACATAAGAGACGACCCTAACAGGACCAAAATTACACCTTTCAAATGGTCAGCAGACGGGCAATTGAACTATTTTGAAGAACTCCCAGGTTACAAAGTGGCCAGAACTCTGCTCTTCTCCTAGCTGGTTTTTTGTTCATTCCGCAAACAATGGTCAGAATGGCAGGAAGAAAAAAAAAGATGCTACAAAGCCACAAGCTGAGATAAGAACTGAGGAACAAAACCAGAAACTAGGGATCGTTAGCTGAGTTGAGGACAATGCCAGTTAGGGAGTCCCTTGATAAACATCTTTTGCTTGCGGCGGCCACAAGCCAAGAGTTCATCCAGCACAAAGGCCAAATTGCCAACTTAACTTCGCTCAAATGAGCAAGGATCTTTAAATCCTCTCTAGCTCTAGCTCTGGATTCTAGCTCTAATCTAAAGGGATATGCAAAATCTAATTTGCGATAAGATCAGAGGCTTTAAATCATCATTTTAGGCCTTGAGATCACCCTTGACTCCTAACCAAATTAATTTCACCCATAAATATCAATTATTGGAGAATTTTTAATGAGGAAAAACGGCATTTAAACGTAATTTACATGGAAATAATATAAAAGGGAAGTGCATTCTTTAATCGTATATTCAACCACCAATCAGAAGCAGCCCGGAGAAAACTATTTTAAAAAAAATTAAGAGTTTCCACTCAAGATCTAGGAAAATGTGGAGAATTTCCCTCACAAGCACGCGCCATTTGGCTGAAGTACGTTCGACGCAAGCGCGCCAACCCCCAAGAAGAAACAATTCCAAAAAGATCGATCCCAAGTGATCCCCGAGACGCCTTGCTGTGTCATCTTCCTGCCACTCCTCCAGAGATCTCCAAACTCGTGCTCATGAGTTTTTCATTATTATATAATTCCCCTCTCATATGCCATGCGAATTGTGCGTTTTCACGCAAAACGTCAATAATCCATCAAAATTCTGGGACCAAAATTATGAACCTAGTAGGTTGTAAGATTTTCCAATTTGTTTGGTTTCGCCCGCACACAATATTTTTTGTATGTTTTTCCTTTTCAATTTAACAACTTGGGTATTTAGCTGGTGATGGAGCAGTTCTTCGTTTGAAAGGAAAAATCATCTTTTGAATTTTTAACATTATTTTCCAGATACTTTTTTGGTGAGGGTGATCGATAAATCATATGGTTAAAGATCGCGTGTTGACAGATCTGTTGGTCAGTCCTCGGACATATGTTAGGGTAAGGGTTTGGACGAGGAGAAGTCTTTTGCCAGGTTATAGGTTTTAAGAGGTCAAACCTAGAAGAAGCCCTGGACTTGAAGAGATTCGATAGAGAAGAGAGTAAGTATATGATAAGGAAGAGTAATGATTAAAAACTTGATTAAAAATGTTAATAATCTCTGATGATTCAGTTTTTAAATAGGAAATTGTTTAGTATCTTGTAGATACTATCTTGAGTAGTACAGCATATATCTTCTCTTTGCTTTTATATAATCTCTAAAGTTTACCCAACTGCATCTTTAAATCAAGCAAAACTCCATTAAAAAACATAAATCTTTAATAATATCTTAAACTTTATTATGTTATTACATAAAAACATTTCGTGGGTAAATCTTAGACTATTTTAATTTACTTAAAATGAATTTAATTAAGGATTACACTGGGCGCACATCTTAAGCCTCGAAATTCGTTTCATGACTTGGAGCTTAGACTTTAATGGGTAAATGGTAAATACTAATTTTGATCCGTTGCTCAGATAGCTGGCATCTTGGCTACACTTTAAAAATCTCTAAATTTGTACTTCTTCTTTCGTCAGTTTCAGTTGCATCGAAAATATTGTCATTAGTGCCGAAATAGTTTCAAAAATAAAAACATAAAACTTTCCAAATTATATTTAATAAATTGTATTTATTTGTTTTTGATTTCGTTCGATCTCGTCTTAGCTTTCCACTTTCAACTAACAAAATACTGAGAGAGTATCAGTGATAGAATATCTGAGAGAATACATAGATTAAATAAGACTAATTATGTATTTTTGTTTTTTGATATATAAAACATATTCATTTATATTAATTTGTTATAAACTATATTTTATTAATTTGACTTTGGACTGTTGTTTGGTTGTTTTTCGCTTGACTCAACTTACAAATTAGTTTTAACTTAGGCTTAGGTTTCTCCATGCATTTTATGATAATTTTTTAAACCGTTTTCAGGGTTTTTAGTCGATTTTCGAAAAATACAAGAGACTATATAGAGAGAGAGAGACAGAGTTAGAAAGTTAGGTGGCTACAGTTCGATACAGTTAGGTTAGATATATAGATTAACTTAGGGCTAGAATTAGCAGCTTGAATGGCTTATTTACAATTCTCGACAACGAAATAATGTTTTTGAAAACTTAGGCTACGAATATATACAATTCTGGACAACGATTAATGTGATAATAATAGATGATAAATAATAATAACAAGGTGAATGTGTGGGACTTAGGAGTGAGCGTTCCTGGCCATGTGAACGAAGAGGCCGACGGGTCCGTCGCACTTCTCGCCGCACATGTTGCACTTGAACACATCGTCGCAGCTGTGGTAGCCCATGTGGATGGTGTAGAGCACCGCGTCCTTGAAGAAGATATCACAGTACTTGCACTCATAGATGGCTCCAGCCGCCGCCGGTGTTCCGGATGGAGGAGCTGTGACTGCTGAAGTTGTACCATTGCTGCTGGAATTGCTGCTGCTGTTGCCATTGCTGCTGGCATTCGAGCTATTCCCTGAGCTGGAGGCCGTGGAACTGGCACTGGTATTGGCCTGCGGCACATGTGCCGTTTCCATGGACTCATCCGCCGAGCTGGTTCCCGAGCAATGCTCTTCGGGCATTGGTTTACGGCCGGCAATTGGTGAGGAGGCAGTGGGCATGTTGCCGCTGGGTACTTTCAGTTGCTCAGGAGAGGTCATGGCCTCAGATCGGAGTTGCAACAGGGTGTCCAGCTTGAGAACGCGTCCCTTGCGCCTTGAGGCAGTCGAGCTGCTCATCAGTGGCGTGGCCTCATCTTCCACCTTGAGATTCATGGCCAAAGGTTGCTGCTGCTGCTGCTGTTGTTGCTCATCCTCTTTTACGGGGGTTCCTTGAGAGAGATCCATGGCAGAGTCCACCGACTTACGTTCGTACTCATCATCCTGCTCCTCCTCTTCGTTGTCGCTTTGCTGCTGGTTCTGCTGCTGCAGTTGCTCTCGCATTCGCGGCGACAACTGGGCCAGGACTGCGGCCTGTTGCTGGGCAGCCAGCATCTGGAGGTTGAGGTTCCAGTAGGGGAAGAAGGCCATGTTGCGGTTCTGTTGCAGCAGGCTGGCTAGAGGAGGCAGAAGATTCGCTGGACTGGGCAGGCTGGGTGTCTGATCCACGCTAGCCACACTCTTGGCAGGAGAGGCGGGCAGTGGTAGCACTGGAGAAGCGGCAGTAGGAGCCGAGTTGCTTTGAACGAGAGGGAATCCTTGCAGGGCAGCACTCAGCTGAGATGTGGGTGGCTGAATTGGCTGAGATTGCTGCTGCTGCGGGGCCACAGCTGCCACATTTGGCTTCCGGCTGCCGCTTCCACTTCCTCCACTCGAAATAGGTCCACCATTCTTGCTCTTCGGTCCACGACGGGTGCCATAGACATCGATGACCAACGAGGGATTCGGTGTGCCATCCTCATCCAAGACCATGCCGGGCTTGTGGCCATACTTGCGCAGATGCAACTTGAAGCTGTGGCAATATTTGGTGGCATAATCACAGTCCGCACAACGGTACTGATACACGGAACTGTGCGACTTGCGATGCGAGTTCAACATGGACTTGTTGACGCAGGTGTAGCTGCATTTATCGCACTGGAAGGGCTTTTGGTTCTTGTGCTTACGGATGTGGTACTCCAAATGGTGCTTGAACTCGGTGACGAACGGGCACTTGGGGCACTGCAGGATCTTGTCCGGTTTCATGTGGGTGCGGGTATGGGCCCAGAAGTCAACCTTGGTGATGGCCACCACGCCGCAAGTCTTGCACTTGTAGTTCTTCATCTTGCCGTGCGAATTGTAGATGGGCATACGGATGTTGGTATCATCATCCTCGGACTCGGCCATGTATTTCATGTCCTCACTGGAATTGGACATCTGATCGTGCTCCTTCTCTGGCTCCATATTCGATTGACTCGACTTGGCCGGCGACTTGGGCGGTGTGACATCCATGGGCGGTGTTAGTGCCTGCAACTTCTCGCTGCTGCTGCTAGCTGCAACTGCAACTGGTGCTACTGTGGATACGGATGTGGGTGTGGGCTGAGGACTGGGTCGCAGATTACCGCCATAGAAATGTTGCATAGGATTGGGCAGACCAGGTGGCGTCAAGGGATTAAAGCCACCCATCAGATGATGATGATGATGATGCTGCTGCTGGGCTGCCTGGAAATGCTGCTGATATTGCTGCTGTTGCAGCAACTGTTGCTGCAAGTTGGCATCGTAATGTTGCAGGCTGTTTTGATCATTTTGACTGGGCGAAGGGGTCATGGCGCAAAGGGTATCCATGGGTTGCTGCTGTTGCTGATGCTGCTGCTTGAGGAACTGTTCCAGGTGATTGGCAGATGGAATTGGCGATTGACGTGGACTGCTGGCCACGCTATTGGCATCTAGGTGATGACCCGGCTCCTGTTTGATGTTGGCCGCAAACATGCTGCTGTACCAGGCGTTGTGCTGCTCGTAGTTGGCTGTGGCTGTCGTCTCCCAGTTCTGCATCTTGGCGGCTCTAGACGGCTGTAATGATAAGGAAAAACAAAGAGAGTGGGGTTAGTGGGGCTATTTAAACACTGCGCCTGCGTCGAGTTTTTCTCTTCTTTTTTTGCTGTTTTTTTTCGCTTGTTTTTCATTTGATTTTTCCTCGTCTTTTTTTCTTGCTTTTTTTTGTGCGTTTGCGGCACCACCCCTAACGTTATGCTAGGGGTGGCTGGGCACCCAACCCCCGGTAAGGGATTTGAGTGATTTTTTGAACAAAATGGAGAAATATCCTACCGTTTCGTGGCCGCTATATGTGTGATTAATTGCTGTATTAAAGTATATTCCAAATTTTTCGGGATTTTCGTTAAAGATTTGCAATGATGATGAGATGTTGCCGCTGCTGCTGCTGCTGCTCGTATGTGTTGTCGCTGTTGTAACAAACTCGTGACTGACTGAGCAATTGCAACAGGCATTGGCTTAAATATGACTCAGGTAGACGGGCTGGACGCACGCGTCAAGGGATTAGATGGGTGACGAAAGGTGACGGGAAGTCAGGTACAGGTCGCGGTTCGGGAATCGCAAGGATATGGGATCACGAGCGGATTGCGCGCGGATTGTTCGCTTGATCCATTCTGGATTAGAGCAGAAACAAAAAAAAATTACGCGCACTTGGATTTGGATGATCCGGGAGCTTAGCGGATGGCCAGCTTAGCAGCGAACTGCTGCGAATTTCCCTTTAGGTTTTCTATGGGGGATTAAGTAAGGCAACTCTCGACAGCAGGAGTAGGCAAAGAGGCAGTTTTCATGCTTAATAATAAAAAGCAAAAAGGATTGCGCTGGATTTAACTAAATTAAAGGATCAGAGATGCTTACACCTGCGGGGAATCCTTTAAGGAGAAAACAAATGCTCAGCCTGACTAAACTATATGCAATATTAGGGATTTTTTTTAATAATTATTTATGATATTTTTAAATATTAAAAATGCTATCAAAAGTTCCGAGGCTCATTACACATTTCCTCACTTAATTTTTTATGTAATTTCCATTTCAAAATTCCAACTAAAAACGTTTTGCTGGCCACAATTTTCCGATACACTTTTCACTTTGATTTGCGTAGTTCTACATATAATTTTCACATTAATTTTTTTTGTTCTACTGCATTTTCCTATTTTTTTTCCTAATTTCTCAATTTCCAATTTCACGCTGAAAAATAGTGCTGTAGCTGCATTTTTGGGTAATTGTTTGTGCTTTTAAGTAAATATTATTAAAAACGCAAAACGCCAAAGGGGGTGTGGGGGTGGTGGCTATACAAGAGGGTGGTATATTATTATGGGTTGGGGATGGGGCTGTGCTATCTCTGGCAGCTAAAATATCTGCAATACTTAGGCATAATTGATGGTTCAGGAAACAGAAAGTGCACACGAAATGAAGCTTAGCATATTTATTTAATTTCGCTTTTGTGGATATTTTTAAAGGAAAAGCCAAAATTAATTGCAGTGTATAGTAGTGTGTGTGTGTGTGTGTGTCTATGAAAGAAACAAAGAGAATTTTTGCCATTCGTCTGGGCTTTTTTGTGCCATGCCCAACAACAAAGCCAAACTAAAGGCCAAGTGTAAAATTAATATTACGCCGGGCAGGGGCGTGGATAGGAGAGGTTGCAAGGGGTGAAAGCGGGGTTGGGGGTGACCACAACGAGTGCAGCCAGGCAACCGAAACTGCAAAAGTAAACTAAACATGTGCTAGTCGTTTTTGGCCCCTACATCGCCCCCCCAACGGCCAACCCAACCCCTCTAAAAATATCATGAAAATGGCAAAAATGGAAAAATTCGCAAACGCAGAAAATGCGCCACACAAAAAATGTTTTTGTTGAAAAATCCGTACAAAAAGCAAGCCAAGAGCAGGATATGCCAGAAAATAAACGTATGGTATATAGAATATATATATGATATATACATATATATATATCCAACCGATTGTTGTTGGCTTAGAACAACTTGTTGTTGCTGTGCTGCCTGGTGAAATGCCTTTTTTTCTTTCCGATTTGGTTTTTGGAGCTGCCGTCGCTTAGGGAAAACTGCATTCTGCTGCTAAAGTGATTCAATGTCATTCGGTGTTTATAAATATATCCCGTATAATATGTGTATATTTATTTTTATGCGCCTAACAAAGCCCCATTTGTTTGATTTGTGGTCGGTTCTTTTTGTCAGAAAACATTAAAACTGTCGCCTGACAATCAATTCGGCCAAAGATCTTCTTTTTCTTTAGATGCTCTTGCATTGCGATGATCATTAAGTTTGATGATCTTAAAAAAACATCTCAAAACGACCGTCATTTGTATTTATTTTATATTTGAAATGCATTTTGGCGAGTGCCAAACTATTTGCCATTAAAAAATTGCCACGTTGACTTTGAATTATAGTTCGGATGTCTAAATTTAAATTATTAAAAAAGAAAAGTCGAAAATGCATTTGCCGAAAGCAGAGCAAAAAGAAAGGCTAAAAACTGTTAGGGGGGTTAGGAGGAGCAGGAAGGCGAAACAAAAAAAAAATAAAAACAACATGAAAGTCGACATGTAAACAAATAAAATTAGCTGTCAGGCGTAGAGGGGGGCGTGGCCAGGAGGATTGGGGGGATGTAGCAGTGTAGGGGGGGCAGGCTGAATATACACTACTGCAGTTCTGGGCAAAAACAGACAGCGCGGGCAAAAAACAAGTTCACCCAAAGATCGGCCAAAAGCCAGACAGATTTTAAAATATTGTTTTAGAATTTTTGCCGTTTGCATTTTTAGCAAATGATTTACCACTCTCTAAGTGTGTGTGTGTGTGATATCTTGTTTGTGTTTCTAAGGTTAGATAGAAAAAGAAGGACTCGGCCGCAAACAACTAGGGAATAGGTAGAAAGTGCAAGAACTAGATGAAAGTTGGGTACTTGGGACACTAGGTGGTTAGAACTTAGTTAGATGGGAAAGTAAACTAATTTTTAAACATCTTAAAGTTCAGTTGATTAAACTAGAAAAATTATAGTACGTAAAACCCCCTAGAAAACTGTATATAGTATATTCCTGGATACCTCAACATTTTGCCATTTGCCCCCGCAAAAGCGATTTGCATTTCTTGTTTATTTGTTTATCCGTGTGGAAAGCTTTTGAGAATGCATGTGTTTTTTACGATTTATTGGAGGTCGAATGCTAATACTAGAATATTAGATGGTTGGACCTATTTAACTTACCTTAACTTAGAGGCTCCAAAGGGATTCTCCGGGAGAATTCAGAAACGGGAACCGGGAGCACGGAAGTTTTTTCCTCGCTCGCGGCTTCTCTCGTTCTCGCTCTCTCGCTTGACCGCGGCACGGTTACCGTTAAACCAACACGCACAGTGCGTGCAAGAGGAGGAGAGGTGATGTGGGGGCTCCTTGCTCTTCGTTTTTGTCTATTTTTTGGGCCTCGCTTTTTAGCTTGCTTTTATATGCTTTCTTTTTCGCGGAATTCGCGCATGTGCGGAAAATAGTCTTTTGCCAAAAAAATAAGATTTTTTTTTGGGTAAATTCGTTTTTCTTAATTTTTTTTAAGCACGAACACGGAGTTTTTTAATTGGGTATTTATTGGAAATATTTTTGTGTTGCAGTAGCAGTTATGTTTCGTCCTTTAGTTTTGTGTTATTTGTGTATTTTTGTTAAGCTGCCTGTTTAATGCTGGCGACTTTCGTTTTCGGGACTCGGAGCACAACTGACTAAACTCGTGCTCAACGGGCTCTTCTAATAGCTAAAAATCTGCTCCTCAATAGTGCACTCGCCAAAAAAGAACTCAAAGTTGGTCCACTCATATCTCAAATCCCAAATCTCAATTGCAAAGCAAAAACAAATGGCAGAAGTGCAACAACACAAAGGCGGGGGAGAGCCTCCGTTACACGGAGAGCAAACCAAAAAAGAGAGAGAGCAAAGCAAATGGAGAGCAAACGAAACTCACTCAAAACGGATGCTTGCTGTAAATCTGAGTGACTTTCCCCAACCCCAAAGAACAATATAACAGCATCCCCTCTTCTTTGCTTTCTCTCTTACACTCACTCTCTTGCTCCCTCTCTCTGTCGATGGCTCGCTTTATCCTTTTGCGTTTTCTGGCGATGCATTTTGGCCGATTGCAGCTGCCTTTTTGGCTCTTTGCCGTTTTTTGGCATCTCCGCTTCACTATTGATTATTGATTTCTGTTTTAAAAGAGAGAGCCAGAGAGAAAACGAGAGATAGGGGGGCTGCCGCCTTCGCCAATTGTTTTTTGGGCAACTTTAAGCCCAGACACATTAACAACTTAGCCAACTGCATTTTGGCCGATGGAAAGTTTGGGCCGAGGAGAATCCTTGTTGCATTAACACATTCCGTGCGTGTTAACTTAATTTGGGGAAAGCTTTGCCACAATTAGGAGTCCAAATTTCAAAACTAGACAAGGTAAAGGCTTTTTAATCAAGGTAATAGATGAGTTTTGGATTGAGATTGGGGTAATTCAACTTTTTAAGGCTAACAGGGATTGTGCATCATAAATTAAGGACTATTTTACTAACAGTAATACCTATTTTAAATATGATATAACAACTATTTTAGATATTTTTGTAATAGATAGCAGAAACTAATCTAAAATTTCAATTTAAAACTAATTTTTTATACCCAACATAAAGAGGAAAACAACATGGGGAATAATCTGTGTTTTCCCAACAAAAAAACAAATACAAATGCCTAATTACACTGGAAATTGAGGTGCCTCTGGTCATCCGAATGCAATACTTATTTTATAAATTCATTAAAATGAAATATGTTTGGACTTTGGCTAATGGAGCGAAGGGTGGGAGGGGGGAGTAAATAGGCGTTGCCCTGGGGGTGGCGTTTTTGGAAATGTAAAAGCAATATTTACAAAACAAACGACAACCCAGAAAGCAAACAAAACGCCGCCGAAATGCAAATTACACAAGTTCTAATGTTCATATGCAGAGAGACAAGGACGATATAGGATCCTGTAGTGGAGGCAGGTAGAGTCCCGAAAAGAGAACACAGACCTGCCATTGACGTTGACATGGTCAACCGGATTACGAACTGCAACCGGACTTAGCGAAGAAAGGATTAAAGGCCGCGAAACTACCTGATCCTGGCACCGCCCAGTTCATTAATCCGCGCATCCGAAGAAGTGCGACTGGAACTAGAGTGATGTGGATTTAAAAGCGATTTAAAAGTTGGCCAGCCCAGCCCAGCCCGGGCAGGGCATTGGGCATAATCCAACATTACGCAGTACCCAGGATCATCTAGGGATCAGTGCCGTTGATCCGGAGGATCCAGTTAGTCCCGTGCGATTAGCGTTCGCTGATCAGCCCGATTAGCGCTCCTTACGCGAACGATCCCTTTGGAAAGTTATGTAAAGTTGAAGTTAAGGACATAACAAATTAACCCAAACGAACCGTCACGCTTGACCTTTTAATTGAGCCTTATGATATACCTATCTTCTGATCTGGACAAACACAAACATGCTGATGATCATCATCGTCTAATTGCCGAAAGTCCCTGCCCTGTCACGTATGCAAATGATCCTTAACCTTTGGCCTGCCGCTGTCTTAAGAGGGCATCGTCTAAGGGGAAGTTCAACAGGGAGGATCCTCACATCTTTATCTATCTTCTACATATGCAAATCTCTATCTTTCAGGCGTTCAGCCAAGCGTTTTGGGATTTTGTGGTTGACCGATTTGCCCCTCAAGAGAGTATCTCATTAGGATCACTTTTTTTGTGTTTTGATTTGGCGCACTCTTCTCGTGACCTTTGTCCTGCGGCCTGTTGAGATATCACCTTGAGTTCGTAAGCTGATTTCATGCTAAGGATGATTTGCCATTTTTCTTCAGTTTTCAGTTTTTTCTTCTTGAGGGGTTTCTTTTTTTTATTTGGCTGTTTTGGTTTTTGTGGGAAGATTTAGCTCTTTGATCTTAAGTGCAAATTAGTTTTGCCATAAAATTACTTAGATTTGAGAGCTACTGTGTAGGGGAGTTTATTTTGAGAAGAGTCTTAGAAATTTTAAACATTTTTAGATGTTTATATAAAAGTTTTTTATGCTAGCTTAAGATTGGTAAATATGTTTTCTTTATATTAAATTTTTATAAAATTGAATTCGATTCTTTAGTCGTAACTTAAAATTGTTTTATAAAGATGTTGAAAACCAAATGATGGACATTTTAAAGAGTCATTTTCATATTTTCCATTTATTTCACATTACTCCTTACAAGCTGTTCTTCAAAGGATTGCTGAAAACATAAAGAAAATATCCTTTTGCCCTTCCTTTACTTTTCTTATTCCTTGCATGCTACCTCTGACTAGACAGTTTTTCCTTATAGTTTTCATTTCACCATTAAAAAACTGCACCTCAGACATCCCTTAGCCAACCCAAAAAACACTTGCAACTCTCCGCTTTAATTCCCAGCCAAATTTCGCACACTTCTTAGCCATGTCGAGACCCTTAGCCAGCCGCAAAAATTAGCATTTGGCATAAATCAGAATGTGAAAAGTGCTCGCGACGTTACGCCCACCACGAGGAAAAAGGTTCGAATGTGTCAGGGGACACGGGGGAAAATTCCGCCGAAATATTTTGGTAAACAGAGGATAGTTTTGAGGACGAGACGAGGCGTTCGCCCAACAACATCCGTAAATCCTTTTTTAGCACGAAAAACCGAAGGATTAAAAAAGGAAACTAGAGCAGAGAGGTCTGGTCGCAGCGGATAGTTGCTCTAATTTTCATTGTCCGCCTTAATGGTTACGCCGTAAAATTGGCTATGCGGGCCAAAACAAAAGCGTGAAGGACAACGGCAGGACATGGTAGACAAACGCCCGGTGGATTTCCAGTCGACACGCCACGAGATTTTATGAAGGCAACTTCGTTCGTTTTGCATGTCTTTCGAAATGTATTTTCTTTCGGTCAGGTAAGACCTTCGATTAACAATGAAAATAGCTGGAAAATCGCGAGAAACTTCTAAAGATACAAAAACAGAGCTACAATATTCCAGAGTCTAATGGTTATTAGAGAGGATCGCTCTATATAGTATTGTGCCAGGACTTTGGCTGAAACTCTAAAAAACGTCGCAAAAAACTCACTTCCGCGTAGAAGGATCCTTTTCATTTTTTAGGGCCATAAAATATTTAGTTTTTTATGACCAGCGGAAAGCAGGTAGACCGCTGCCGTTTTTTGTGTGCGTTGTTAACCCTTTCACCATTAACAAAAAAGAAAGATCCCATCCTAGCCGTGTCCTTGCCAGTTTCCCTCGAAACATCCCACACAATTTGTGTGCTTTGCGTTTTCTCTTCTTTTTGTTTCCAACTAATGTCTGTGTCTTTGTGTTCTTTATGACGCCTCGGTTGTTTCTTTTTTTATGGTGCCTTCTTTGTCCTCGTTGCACGGCTAAGTCCTTACTTCCTCAACCCTTTTTGGGCGGCCAAGAAAGTTGGTCCGACGCGAACGGGTTAAGTGAAATTTCCATAGCACTTTTTACGAGCTGCGATCTTCTTGGAAGAGTCTTTTTGGTCATTAGGAGGCGAAAGGGTTAAGTTCGATTCTGGCTCTCTCGGTGGGTTTATGGGTTGTATTCAAATGCTAAAGGGTTAAGGCGAGTAAAGGGTTAAGTTGTTTAAATAGTTTACGGCTTTTGGAAATTACGGAAAAACTTGTGTGACCAAAAATCCGGAGATTTGAGGGCCATATATGTTTTTATGATTATGAAAGTGGAGTGTAAAAAACCTGAAGGTGGTTTTGAGTTACTTTTAAGCCCGTAAAAAAACTCATTTAAACGGATTATTAAAACAAGTTTAAAGGGAAAAACTTAAAAGATTTTAATCAAACAGACTTAAAGTCTTCCAAAAATGTGAACACATTTCTCCAAATCCAAAAATTTGACAACTAATATCCAGCAATGAAAGGGAAATCATTTTAATGTCTCCTCCCTTAGTAACGGCCTTTAATAAAATTTTCTTGAAAATCCAACAAATAATATTCGATCCTTCTGGCTGAACATTTGGCGCGATTACATTCGTAATTCGCTGGAAATTAAGGCCACTAAGTCGCCAGCGAAATGCATTCGGACATTGGACAAATGTAAAAAGGATTTTTGAGTCCGGCCATTGTTGTCCCATTGTTGACTGGCCATCATCCAGAGGACCTAACCAACGAACCCAAACCCAAACCCAAATTCCGAGCTTAGGCAATCGGCATTGGGAAATAAGCGCCAAATATTTCTATTCTACTAGACTCACCCACCCCAGAGATCCTTGGTGGCTGGACGATGTGGACGTCTAATCAGTCCACATTTTCACACTTTCGTGACCCCTGCGGTGCTACAGATGCGGCTCGATCGGGGGTTGGCCCTTGGCCATTGGTCAGGGCGGCGATGCTGGATAAAACAAAGTGAAGTAAAAATGTGAAATAAAAATAAAAATAAAATTGGGAACGCGCGCCAGAGTCGTCCTGGTGTACGTCCTGTGTGACCCCTTGTCAGCGTCAGGCAGAGGTTAAAATTAATGCGAATAGTGTGGATGTGCGGGGAAATTGCATCAATTCGGGGTCACGGCTAAGACGCCTCAAGAAGGGAATAATAATAATGCGAGGCCATAGGGGTGGCTAGGGTCAAATTTATGGCTCGACATTGAAAACTGTAACAGTCGATGAGGAGGCGAAGGATTTTTGCAGCTCTGGAAAAATTTTGCGCCTCATTGTTTTGCATGTT